CAAAGTTTCTGCAACCAGCCACAGCAGTTCCTCCCAACCCAGCTATCTACCTAGCTACCTGTACAGACCACTACCTATCAGCTACTCTGCAATGAAACAACACCACATCAAGGAATCAGTAATCAAGGGGAAGACAATGTGGCAATCATCCCCTAGGGCCCCATATCTGGCTCTTATAGACCCCTCTCTCCCATCAAGCACATATTTAAAGCTAACAGCTGCACTGCCAAAGCGACAAGCTAGTATTTTAATCTACTAGCTATGCACATTACATGAAACACTTACACTGTATACATGTTGCTGACTCCCTTCTTTGCAGACACTGTCCAACCACCAAGGAATCAGTACTGCACTTTGTTCTGGACTATCTGGCATACTCAATTCAACAGAATGACTGTGGCTGATCACCATGCTAGGAAGGGGCACGCAATTGCTGAAGTTCCTCCTGAACCACAAGAAAGCAATCCCACACTTGATATTTGTTGATGCTACCAAAAGACTATAATGTACAACTGGTAAAACATAGTAACATTACATTACACCTGGCTGATGAAGACCGCAACTCTGCTACTCACCACACCCAATATGGTTTCTCAGGATTCACTGGGTGGCACACATTGTTGATGATGAGAACTGTTGTTAGAAAACTACACACAAAACAAACTAACACACAGTCTTTCCAGATTCCACAGAACTTGTTTATGGGCTTTACCTCCTAGAACAGTGGGTGCTCTAGTTGTTTGTGTGGTGGTATGTATAATGATCTTTCAAAGTCAAACCCAGAGATGTATGGGTGTGGGTTTTGAGGAGGAGAGATAGTTGAACTATAGAAGGTAGGGGCTTTTATAATGAGTATAGACGAGCACTACCTTGCTAATTGTAGCACAAGGTAAGTTTGAGAATGAAAAGATGACGAGGTGACGAGGTTCCCAGCGATAGCAGGCTCCTGACGCACAAACTGTAGTACTCAGAAGGACTCTAATCGAAAGGGATGACAATGACTTTCAAAAGTGATGAGTGATGATGATAGTAGTTAACAGTGGTAGCAGCGGGAAGTGTTGTGACCACACTGGATCACAAGTAGCAGAGTAGTGAACTTGAGATTTAGAGAAGAAGTCTGGATTGGAGTTTTTGTTTTTTTACAAGGTAAAATACAGGGGTTTATATAGTAAAAGAAAGATAGGTTATGCACAGTATAGCTGTGCAAAAAGAATGAGAAGGAACATGAAGGAAAGAATGTATGCGGACAAATTCTGCATAGGTAGTACAGGATAAGATTGTCAAAATAAGGAAAAGAAAGGGATAGAACAATAAATGTTGTGTAGGTAATGTCACAGCCACAAAATTAAGTCCAATAGCAGAAAAAGAGCAAGATAATCATGATGTTATGGGAAGATGCAGTAAAAAAAGGGCAAGGCAAAACAATATCAGTATTAACACAATTCCTTTATTGTCAGTCAGGCATTCTAAAAAGATATATGCCCATAAAAATGATTAAAAAATCAAAAATAATTGCACTGCAAATAAATGTTCTGCTGAAAAAAAAAGGAACTGGAGCCACTGGTCCACCACCTAGTCCAAATCCAATGGTTCCATGGCTTTACCAATGGTCTGGTTGTAGTGGACCACCTGGTCAAACGAGGGAGGGAGAGGGGTAGTTCCAAATTGGAACAAGTGAGTCTCAGGCAGCGTGTGGTAACCATAGCTATAGCAAAGATTATGGACAAAAGATAGATGTACCAAAAAAGTGGGACAGCAATGTACATGGGCAATGCAAAAGGATGGACCTTTTCTCACTCAAAAACTACCCACCTGCATTCCAACCAGGTGGGACAAGTGACCAATGACTTAATGGCAGATCAATGTTGATGAGTCTGTAGCCCAATTTGGACTGGCCTCCAGGGCTTTGCTGGAATTAGTAGTGGCACATGGTGGTTGACAGATTGGCAATGCAAGCAGATGGAAAGCGGTGACATTAGGTGTGGAGGAGGCACAAGGAGAACAAGTAGGAGGAGTGAGGAGGTGACAAAAAAGTGGATTAAAATAGGGATCCAGGAATGGCCATCTAGTGAGAAGAAAAAAGACAGTAAAGGGCCTATAGTGGGGCTAAGTAAGGAAAGGAGAGTAAGGGGAACAATGAAAACAAGGGCACAATGTGTAGCCAGTAGCAACACAAAACTTTGCTAAAATACTAAAAATACCAAATAGAAAGCAAAGGTGGGTGTGACTTAATTGCCTAATAGAGGTGGGTACTGATTAGCCTCAAGTTTAAAAAATAATCATGTTAATTACTATTCCATGTGGCACAAAGGCAAGTCTTTTGAATATTTGCTTCATTATTAACACCTGTCCATGCTACCAATCAACTTGGTGCATAACACCGCAAACAAGAGAGATGACTGGCCATCTTCATACTTCAAGTTGATATCCACACTATTTCTCTTCAGCAGGAGTTCAACAACTTCATTATGTTCATAGCAAGCTGGGATCATGAGGGAAGTGTTACATTGTTGGATTTGAAAGTTGTCAGGCTTTGCCAAAAGTTTCACAGCTTCTGCATATCCATTTAATGACCTCTATATGTGTGTTTTGAGTTGCAAACATGAATAATATCCTACTAAACTTGTTTTTTAAGTCAATACCCACATCATGCCTTGCCAATAACAACTTAATAATTTATATGTGCCCTTTTGCAGCTGCTAGCATGAGAAGTGTCATACCCCATTTTATGCTTAAGTCAATATTCACAATCTCTTGCCAACCCACAGTATTGTTATTGCCTGATTAATGAACGACAGTTTGCACCAGGCCAAAAATTGTGCATAAATATAGAGTGGAACCACCGTTATACTTGAAAGAGTCATTACTCAAGTATTTCAGAGCTACATCAACTTTTTCCTTGCAATGGAAAAAGTTAAGTATCATGACTCCGTTCATCTCCTCAAAAGGTCCACATGCATGATACCCCCAATTTTGTGCAGCATAGTGAATAAAATTCACCCACCAGTTGTTAGTGTGTATACTTGTTGGTAGAGAGGCTAAAATGACTTTTAGGCAGATGATACTAAGCTCCACATGGAGGTTTGGTAGCCATTCTTTGTGACCAACAAAGTATTCCTGCATGCTGTAATCTTGTATGAGTAATAAGTTAGTACAGCTTGTATATGAATTGAGAGCCATATTGCTTACAAAAAAAAGCAAAACACAAATTGTTGAGGATCAACCTCCACTAAACAACACATACATCTAATATAATAGCTTCATCCATGTTGTTGTCACTAATTTCAAGTCCTCTGATTAATATAGCTAGAGTATATTGAAACTCCTTGATGCTCAATGATTGGAGAGCATAAATGACCAGCATGATGGCATTGAAAGCAACTTTTTAAAGACCCTTCTCTAGTCCACAGATCTGGTCCAGTGTTTCTCTGAGGGCACTATCTACACCCTTTGGTAGGTTCTGGCAGACAATTCAAACATCTCTATGAGTAAGTTTGAGTGCCAGCAACCCCATAAACGGACAACAGAAACCTTGTATGTCAATTAGATTAGGTCATTCAACAGATCACATTCACAAAACACTTACACCCCTCCCGTGTATGCTATAACATATTGATTGATTTCTTCTCTCAAAGTGGTGTTTTCAGTATTATTATGTATAATAGTATCCCTAGAAGAATACGATTAAATGTACTTGCACATGTCATTGCTGTGCACATGAATATCCATGTGGTGGACGTCACAAAGGGCTCTGCTAATTGATTCTATATTGTGTGAAGTTACTAGTAGATTGCCCAGAGATTGAAGCCTGTGAAGCAGCTTAAGCTGACCACTGTCATTGTCTGATGTCTTGTCCAAAACATCAACAATGACATAAACTTGAGAAAATATTTTTATATTAGATATCAGTGTACTGTGAGTGTTGTGTAGAATTGAGCTGAGATTTTGCTTTTGGTGAGATTGATATTGGCTTTTGACACATTAAAAGGCGGATGAAAAAACTTGAAATAGTTGTTTCAACAGGTTTGCAATCAGATTGGAAACTGTTTATGCTGCTTGTTCCTTGTACTTGCAATATATCTATTAGGCATAAAACATTTTCAATGTGGATTTTTGATGTTCATCAAAGTACTTATGCAATGACTGTTTTACTTCCACCAGCCTCCAGACTCAGAATCAACAATGTGAATGCGTATTAAAATACAAATAGTATACTTACAAATCCCAGGGCACCATAGTGTTTTAACTTTTCCAGTTAGCTAGTTTTGGAATTTTTTGTTGTTCAGTATCCACTCTCTAGTTGCCTCTCACCTGATATTGTGGATGTCACTCTGTGCCCGACAGAAATTGAGAGAAAATAGCCAGCAAATGCTTGCCTTTCTGAATCTGTGTACAAAGTATGTGAGATTTGAAAGAAGCAGGAATTGGTACACATACTGGAAGACTGGTTGAAATATTGGTTAATTGTTGTATGATCACCTTGGAAATGATTGTTGAGTTGGGTGCCTTGAACATCATTAAATGTGCTATGGCTAGCATCTAAATATCAAAAATTGGGCTGAGCAAGTGAATCCTTGACTTTGACATTAACACCAAGATCTAAATCTGACATTGAGAATACAACCAAAAAGGATTTCTAGCAGGACTGTATAGCTCAAAATTTCTGTGATGGGCAAGATGTGTGTTCAAAAATCAGTACTGCATCAGTGCCAGCATATTGCTTTGTTTGGTCAGTACCCATAAAGTAAGGCAAAATAAATATTGAGACCCGTAGGTCTACCACTCCGGAAAAGCGTGTCATCCTTGTGCAGGGGCCATGCTAATCTTCTCTGTATCGTTCCAATTTTTACGTATGTCACCCCGAAGGGGACATTACTCTTTAGTAGGGGGATGGGGCGACGAGGAGAATTTTGGATTTTGTTTGCTCGACGGGTAGGTGGCGGCGCAGCCGCGACAGTCCAGTGGCGATTTTTATTTGCGGCGGTTTGGACAAGCTGATCGGAGAGTGAATACACTATACTTCGTCCCGATCCCTGAGTCAGCTTCAAGTCCCACTCTTTGCACCTGCCAATACCACACTCTATTGTCGTTCTAGCAACATGGGTAATGATGGTGGAAGTATTCCAGACCGACGGGATCTTGTCAGAAACAAGCCCAAGGCAGAGCAGGCAGATAAAGCAAACCAAACGAGAGCTAGGTGGTTTTTCTGTGCTTTATCTAAGGTACGTTTTCCCTCGACAGCACAATGAACCAATATTGAACCGTCTGCTGTAGCGCCCCCTACAAGAGCCGATTGTCTCATGTGCTCTTGGTAAGCTATACAACAAGGACTCGATAATAGAATACCTACTAGACAGGTCGGCATATGGCGATGGCGAGGAAATATGCGGACACATCCGATCGCTGAAGGTATGTTCAGCTTCTTGAATAGCAGTGTCATTATCGTAACATGCCATGTTACAGGATGTCAAGACACTGAAACTTACGCCTACGTCCACTCCATCAATGTCGTCCTCAGACGCTTCTTCCTCGCCTGCGCCTCAATATGTCTGCCCTCTTACATTCAAAGAAATGACAGGAGGACAGCCATTCGTATATGTATTACCCTGCGGATGTGTATTCTCGCAGGCAGGTCTCAAAACGGTTTCTGGTGCATCACCAAACAATGGCAAAGCTGAGAAAGAGAAAGTGGTTGTAGAAGAGGGGAAGATTAGCAAAGGCAACGGGGATGAAGAACTTGAATTGTGTCCCCAATGTGGTACCAAATTCTCCAAGTCATCCGACGTCCTCACAATAAATCCATCATCTGATGAGGAAGAACGGATGTGGCTGGCTATGGAACTTCGACGTGCATCCGAGCCCCCAAAGATTAAATCGAAGAAACGGAAGGCCGCCGATTCTGCACCAGCTACCGAAGGCTCCTCTGCCGGCACCAAGAAGAAGAAAGGTTCACCAGACGTACCTTCTCCTTTGCCCGCTCTTAACTCAGCAGCACCTTCAATTACCACGGTTTCACGTTCCTTGGCGAGTAGTCTAGCAGCTGAAGAGGCAAAGCGGAAGGCTGGCATGAGTGAAGCTGTGAAGTCACTTTATCAAAGCAAAAAGGATGCACGAAAAGAGACATTTATGACTATGGGAACCTTCACGCGGGTGAGTCCAGTGGCATGTCTGCAATGGTTATCGTACGCTGACACAAGCCCAAATGCAGTATGCGTAATTATCATTTTATTGGCTACTATTGCTTTTGTAAAATGGACAGGAGCCTTTAGATGTATTATCTAAGACTAGTTGTGTAGGAGTTGTGATGCTAAGTGTATTCTGTCAATTATCATACGTTGTGCACCTTGTAATCTGTTCTGTTTCTCCGATGTCTTCGCCATGCATATAGTCTGTTCTTGGATAAGATTCGTCAACAAAAGCAGATGTTAAGTGCCAAGACTATTTCGATTGGTTCATCATTCATAGCATACTCTTTAGTTTCCCTTAGTCAGACCATATATTGAGATCAAAGTCGATATCAAATACGTACTCTTCAAATGGTTGTCACCATTGAAGATAACGGCCCTGCGCTATATGCTATTGTTTCGTTAGTGCAGATGTAACACTTTATTCACCATTGTGAGGTGAGGTGTCTTCAATGCTTAAAATATGCATGTATTACTGTTTTTTCTCAGCGTACAAATCGTGCAGTTTCACCCAGTGAACGATTGAAAAGTATCTGTAAAAGTCCTTCCAGGATACGGAGAATGGATATTCCAGACGCTGCTCGCTCGCCTCCTCGTGCTACATCCGCTTGTGCGTCTCGATAGCATCCTGTCAATGTCTGAGCGATTGTTTGCATTGAAAGCTCGTCCATTTTTACTGGATTGGGCGAGCAATGTTCTTTTATCAACTCTCGTACTGCTGCCTGCGAGAAAGCATATTCCTCATCAAACATGTATCCATCTCCTGACCTAAGCTTCTTTCCTTTTGACGTCGTGACGCATGCGTGGCCACAGAATGCCATCCTGTGTTTCGAGAATTCATTCCTATTGATCTCCCACCACCTCTCCATAGGGTCCTCGTGCTCTAGTCCTGTTATGACGATCACAATAGGCACCATACACTGGCAAATCCCAAGGTGAAAGATCTCGTAGTTTGCTCGCAACACGTCTCTGAACCTTGTTCCTCGAATGCAGTACACCAACAGGTGTACACCTTCATTACGCAAATTGTGTACCAGTTTGTGAAGGTTAAACACAGCTTGTTGCGCCGTAACAGTGCCATTGTCACCTTCGTTCAATCCCGCCGTATCCCATATCGTCATAGGTATACCATCGACTTTGACACCGTATGCAATACTGTCAAAGGTGTGGCCCAAGGCTTCTCCGGATACTCCAGCAATATCCGAACCTGCTATCATGTTGATCAACGAGCTCTTGCCAGTTCCAGTTTCCCCAAAGACTAAGATATTTGGCACAGGTTTTCTGGGAGGTGCCTTTAGGGAGTCGTGCAGGGGAGAAGATAAGTTCATGTCGACGTTTCTTTCTATACGAGATGATGGGCCCCCTTGATATTCACAAGAGTTGTTGGCAGTGGTATACGAGGGTGGGCGTTGACCGAGGTCATCTGTTTGGCACGCTACCTCGATCCCACTAGCACCAGGCTGCAATTCTCTGTGACCCTCTCGCAGCGGCATCTGCGAATCCAGACTAGCATCCGCGATATATTGTGGGACTGTATCAACAGCACGTTCTCCATTATTGTCTGCATCGACCTCCATGGCCGCAGACAACATCTCTTGGATGGATGGCTGACTACCATCGTTCATATCCGGAGGTGAAGTTGTCCCATGAAGGGGTTCCGGTATGCGAGATGGTGTAGTTATTCCATGCAATATCACACTTTGCGGTGGACGATCTAGGTTGTCTGTGGATGGCGTAGCTGGTATAGCTGCGTAGATAGATAGTGGCTGCACATGGTGGTCGTAGGTTGTGGGGGAGTCTCTTTGATCGTATTCACGGGATGTTCGATGCCCATTGCTGATGGGTATTTGTGACTGCACAGGGCTCTTTCTCCCATCAGGGGGTTCAAATATATTCCAATCACTAACTGTTTCTGTTTTAAATCTGATTGGCGCAGTGGCCTTTACTGGTGATAATACCGGCGAAGGTTGAGGTGAGTATACTGTGGTATGCGAGCTGCCGTATTGGTGTGGATATGCTCCCGATGTTGTCCTCGCAACTGTCGCTGCAGTAGCCTCCGGTGGTCTGGGATAGCTTAAAGACGAAGGTTGAATACGCCGCGTCAACTCTTGATAATGAGCCTGACCCGCACTGAAAGCGGTCTTTCCAGGTTTTGTCTGGGCTGGTTCAGGTTTTCTTAGCTTCATACCACTAGTCATAGTATTCTAGCAGTGTTTGTTCTTCAAAAAGGTGAGCAAGGACGTCCCCATTCAGAGCCTGTGAGCTTACTTTATCTTTTTACTCCTCAAACTTCAAGCTTCAGGGGCACAAGAGGTCAGAATGTCTTCGCGCTGCAGCAAATAAAGCTTGTATCCTGGCACCACGTGTGAGCGGCCATCACTGAAACGGTGGAAAGACCCGCTCGCTGTATACGGAAAAGCACTAGTCAACAACTGTTTGTATATGGGCTTCTATAAACATGCATACGACGATCAGGAAGAACCCATATCTATAGGATGACCCTGAAATGGATAGATGATAAGGACCCTTTCCTAGTGACACCCTTGATTGTGAAATGATTGCAGGTGAGTAGAGTATCTGCGTTCTCTTCAGTGCGTCTTGACCTTGGATTTTTTTTTCATTACATGAGTATTTCCTTCATTTACCCAACTTTCCACACAATATTGCAGTTAAATGGCATCACTCAAAGTTCTCTTCTAGATTGTTTTGCACGGCGTAAAGTAGGCCCTGGTAACGAGAGTATACATAGGTACTCTTCCATTATGGATATCCTTGCGCCCATCAATACAAATAGTTCTTCCTGTGGTATCATGTTGCCTCATGGCATGGTAATTGTATTTACAGAAACTTCTTAACCCCTATCATGCACCGCACTGACAACGCGCCCCAAGAGTGCAGAAGTCATCAGACCATTGTATATTTACCTCCGCCATTCGATCTTTCTTTTGCCGAGGTGTGCCCTGTACCACATTATACGTTCTGCCCCGGTATCGTACATTCCCTTTTTTTCCATCCGTGAGTTCGCTTGTTGCTTTTCTTTGCTCTGGAGTGTTAATGAAACCACTAAAAGGATTTCAGTATGGCGGATTCAGAGAATACATCAATCCCAAACATCATCCTCTTTGGATCGACAGGCTCTGGCAAGAGCTCAATCGTGAATATGATCGCGGACTCCCCCGCAGATCGTCCCATTGCCAACATGTCCAGCGGAGCTACTGGCTGCACATTTAAAAGCGACAAATATCAATGCAGGATACTTGGATCGTTGTTCAATATCTATGATACTGCAGGACTCGATGAAGGAGGCACGGGCACTGTGCCGAGGGAGGATGCCATCGTTCAGCTTTACCAGCTTATTCGTAAACTGGACACTGGTGTTAGTCTTCTCGTCTATTGCATGAGGGCACCAAGGATTCAGGATTCAGCCCACAAGAACTGGAAACTGTTCTACGAAGTATTTTGCAGAGAGAAGGTTCCCATTGTAATCATCATCACGGGCCTGGAGCATGAGGATCCAATGGATGACTGGTGGGATCGTAACAAGGGAGCCTTTCAGCGAAACGAGATGCGCCCTTCGGGTTTTGCGTGCACTACCGCAACGAGGGGAAAGAGAAAGCAGTCGGGAAAGTATCAATTGGAGGAGGAATACTCGGAGTCACAGGAGAAAGTATGGAAGTTGATCAAATACAATCATCTCGAAGAGCCCTGGAAGGTCGAAAAGATAGAGTGGTTCACGTATATGATGAGATGCCTGAAGAGACATAAGGAGGCAGGGCCTCCAATACATCAGCTTGTGACGAGATGTGAGATGACAGAAGAAGAGGCAATACAGCTGGCTAATAAACTAAAAGAATGAAACACATAATTGGGATACCTGGTCCAGCTACAAACACGAGACGTCTTATGTATGCTTTTGCATAGTTTTCCCTTTCAACACCATGTTGTGTGTTGTTGTAAATTTGATACATCTCTTTATTTTGATGCCCTCGTCACCGAAGACTTCGCGGAAGATATGCCTTCGGGTTTTTTTCCATGTAAAAGTCGACAAACTGGGTTGCAGTATGAGGGTCTCGCTATCATGGCACGATCGTAAAGCTCATGTTAAACTTACATTTAGTCATGTCCTCCACAACTTTATCCGTTAGGATGACCACCCAGAGGGGCGTATCATCGTAGAAATGGTTTACTGATGGACAACGTGCCTGCACGATGATCTTTGTCCCACCACTTTTCGCAGCTTCTTCCATTCGTTCTTCATCAGTTTGGATAGGTTCCCCGATGATCTTCAACGTCGACTCTGGTCCAAGGTCAAATCTCGTCCGACGTATGAAGGGCAAGTCTTTGCTGACGCATATCTTCATCGGCACTGCAGAGTAGTCAAACCCAACGATGTATGTCGAGAGCGCAGTGATACTAGGTATTCTCGCTTGCTGCAGCAACGTGATAATTTCGTCCTGGCGAGTTGCAAAATCATAATCTACTAGAAAGTGGAAGAACGAATAGTCTCCTCCAATAACGTGCACATCTGTTTTGAGTATCTCTCGAGCAGCTGAAATAATAGTCAAACACCCGCCTATTGTCCAACTGCCACAATAATTGAAAGTAGCGTACCTTTAATCTCACATCGTGCAACTCGACAGAAAACACGATGTGTGGGCCATGCTTGGCGCTGACAATCTTTCGAACAGTAGTGTACAACGGTGCAACCACCACATTGCAATATTTTTCCTCCACGTTTCATTTTTTCCCCTGAACACTGATAAATGAATCAATATTCACAAACTCAGATGGTTGAAAACGGGAACGTACACCTGAAAATTCACAAGAAGTCACAAGCCTACGCAGTCCTCGTTTACCATAATATTCCAAAGCCGTCAATCTTGCCTGAGCTTCCTTTTTGAAGCGCACCCAGTCATCCCACAGAGGTCCTACACACTCTTGCGTGTCCATACCCTCGCGCGTTATTTCACGAAATGGTTTGTTGATAATGCGTAATACAGAGCGGTATGAGATATATTTACCAAGCTGCTTGAGTATGTAGGTACCCTGCGCCACGACCAGATGTTCGAGTCTCCTCGAAGCAAACGCAGCGGAAAGCAACATGGCTTTGAGGAGACCTGCGTTGAGCGCTTGCACCATATAAGTGGGTGCTTCTTTTTCTGCCTGAGTAAACATAATGAATGTGTACCCCTGCATGATCATTTCAAGGACGACATGTTCTGGTAGTTGAAGGTTTGTGGAGGCTAGATACCATCCCTGTGCCACAAGGGAACAGGCGCCTTTTTGCAGTAGCCCACCAGCGAAACCATACTGAGTGAAACAGAGCCCAAGGGCAATTTTCATGAGACCCCCGATTCGAATGAAATCCTTGTCCGACTGAGCAAGGCATTCGCGCAGATTATCCACAACATAGGATGTAATGGTCTCCTCTGATCCTTCAGCGCCTTGTAGCATTGACGTAGCGACTTTCTTTCTGTATTTGTCTACGCCTTGCATGCCACGGAGTAACCACGCCAGAGCATATGTGCCAAAAGGATGGTCGTAGAGAACTCGGCCCAAGTAGTGCTTCACTTTCTCCAGCTCTTTTTCCTTCAACCACAATTTCGTCAACAATTGAACACACCCAGGGGTATGTACCAATACATCGTCAGTCTCTGGGGTACAATAAGCGAAGTACACCCAGGCTATTGCTGAGATTGCCTTATCCTCAACAATCGGGCTATATCGATGGTGAAGCATGCAATTTTCATGGAAATACTGCGTCCAAGCCCAAAGCCTGGGCCATGCCGCACTTGCGATGGGGGGCCATGCCTTGTTAAATTGACGAAAGGCTACGTTCTTCGATTGCTCGAAGTCACGGAGATAACTAATCGTCAGTAGGGCGCGGTCGACATTTTTCCTATTGAGTGGTGAAGGGGGACCTTCGCGGTCAGGTGGAATGTTTTCTTCGTTGAGATCGGTAAGGAAGTCTTCGATTTCATCTGGAGTCAATGATGCGAGATTACCACCAAAGCCATGCAGATGGGACCAAGACATCATGGCTGACACGATGCAGCTTGAGGAGTGAAGTTTGAACTGCCTGTTCGTTGATCAATATCCTACTACGTGTGAGCGAATGTGCTTACCAGAGATTAAATGTATATCGCTTTGATTACTAGATAACCTAGACTTAGTAATGACTTATCCAATCGGATTAGCCTTGATTTCTACAACGCGGGGAAATTTCCTCGATTTCAAGGGAGAATGCGGAGTGGGTGGTTTTGGACCTGAGTACGTTGCAGTCCAAGATAATTTGGCGCCGGTGCATACCTTTTACACGCTGTATGAGGTGTGGTAAGCAGCGGCCTAGTGGCTGCAGCATGTTCAAGTTTCATATCAAGGAAAGACGCTGATGACAGTGTCCGCTGCAGATATAGGGATAACCATACGCATACATATGAACCGCCAAATTGAAATACCAGCATCTGATAGCTATAGATAATTCCCATAATTTCAAGTTCCTTTTGCCGGAATTCATATATTAAGCGCTCATGCGTTAACCTAAGGCAGCTCGTGTGTTGGGACAATATCCTCCATGAAACCGCAATAAAGAGAAGTATACAGCTGCAATGGGTAGGCAGCTAATAGGTTCCTTGGAAAAAAATAGAAATAAAAAAAGGAAATAATGGCAGCCTGACCTCCAGTATTGCACCGAGTAAGAGTAGACAGTGATTATTGCCTTCTTAATAAGAAAAAGTCAACGATTAGAGTACTAACTTCTCATGCAGCTTATTGTGGATGCACAATGAACCGAAGTTATCTTCATTCAGCGTCACTGTCGGGAACGACAGCAGTGGGATGAAATAACAAAAAAGGAGCCGATGAGAGCATATTCCCGGTAAATTACCGACCGACCAGCATGTTATAGAATAGGATAGAGACGAGCTATACTTGTACAAGCAGCGAGCAATAAGGTTGTTGGAAGGACTTGGTGCAACGACTCGGACATGGTAAAAAATGTTGGACGTGGGCAGCTTTTATTTGTCCCTGTTATTTTCCAAAGCCTTTGCCTTTTTCGTACTTATGGCATAGTGGCGGTGTTGTCAGCCAGCGCTTCGCTTGGAATAATTGCTGGCATTTCCGGACTACTTTCTTGGACACGCGCGCATTTTTTCCACTTTCTCTCGGTCCTCATATATATATGATATAAATGTTCTACAAGGCCATAGTCAAAGGCAAAAAACCTTTGCAAGCCGCATCTCATGCCATCTCTTCTACCACCACAGCGGCTGCATCTTCCTCGTCTGCCCTTTTTTCACGTGTCTTCGTCAAGCACAGGATTAGTTTTTCTGGGACAGTCCGTTCATTCAAAAGAGATGCTTTCAGAAGATCGTTCTCTGCAAAGAATCAGAATCCGATAGAGACACCGCCGTCATTGGCTGGTGTGAAAGGTCTCCCACTGTACAGTTCGTATTCGTGGTGAGCCGCAGTAATAAACGATAGGGCGTACTAACATCGGCGCTTAAGGGAAACTCATCGCAGCATGGACAGAAACGCCCACAAAGTGGTATCCGCTACCGCTCGCCGTTGGAGCACTACTCCTTGTCGTCATACAGTACCGCAAGAAAGCAGCACGCGCCGAGAAGGAGGTACACGTCGACGACGAGGGACATGAGATAATCAAGTTAAAAGGACCATGGCAGGTACGTCAACGCAAGGCAGCATCCTCACTGTTCTACGTTAACCGCTCGCCGTCCTAGGTACATGTTATTGGCGCTCTCCCCTTGCGAAATATGTCCCGTGTGTGGGGTTATTTCAACTCGCTGGAGCTCCCTGTATGGGTTAGACCCTACGGTTTTCGATTATATGCCTATATGTTTGGATGCAACTTGGAAGAAATTGAACCTGCAGATCTCACGCAATATGCCAGCCTAGGAGCGTTCTTTTATAGAAAACTCAAAGCTGGCGCAAGACCCGTAGATAACGCTATTCTGGTGTGTTTCAATACTACGTTCTCCCATCAAGATATTAACGTCCAGTCCAGGTCAGTCCTGCAGATGGTACCGTGCTCCACTTCGGAACTATCCAAGACCTGCGAGTGGAGCAAGTCAAAGGAATAACATATTCTCTTGATGCTTTACTCGGTGTAGAAAGGTCAGACCCTGGAAGCCCTACTTCATCAACGTCGACTATTGTAGAGATCCCGAGGAGTCGTGACATGTCCATAGTGGACGACCACGAATTTGCCAACGTCAATGGTATCGAATACAGTCTGGACCAACTCTTAGGTGTGTCCATACCCTCTACGCCCACCTCTACCACGCCGCCCGTCACTCCTGCTATGGAAAGAAACCCGGATGCAATCCCAGAGAAACACGGTGAACAGATCGATGCATCTGTCGAACAAGAGGGTACATTGCAAGAAACCCTTGCACACGACGCGTCAGTGGCTCGTGAAATGGGCGTACGGCCATCTCTCGGTGAACGCAAGAGAAGCACATCAGGCAAGACTGTTAAAGAAGGCAATGCACTGTATTTCACTGTCATCTACCTTGCGCCTGGTGACTATCACCGATTCCACAGCCCGACTGCTTGGATAGTAGAGAAACGGAGACATTTTGTTGGTTAGTCTCCACCTTGCTTATTCTCATCCAATATACTCTAACAATGGTGTTTAGGGGAACTGTTCTCCGTTTCACCCTACATGGCGAAGCGTTTAGAAAATTTGTTTGTCCTTAACGAACGGGTTGCTCTGCTTGGAAGATGGAGACATGGTTTCTTTGGTATGATCCCCGTGGGCGCAACCAACGTTGGGAGTATCAAAATCAATTTCGATACCGTATGTCCTTCTCTATCTGCGTCTATATATCGATATATACTTATTTATTTTCTGATTTCCAGGCACTACGTACCAATGTCCGTGGCCGACCACCTCCACCAGGCACCTACACAGAAGCGATCTATTCCGGCGCATCTCCCGTACTGAATGGTCAACCCCTGACGCCCGCACAAGAGATGGGTGGATTCTGCCTTGGCAGCACAATCGTGCTCGTCTTCGAGGCTCCGAAGACCTTTGAATTCGCTATCAAAGAGGGTCAGAAAGTCAAGGTCGGAAATCGGCTGGGTGACGTACCAGGGATGACTACAACGATTGGAAAAGAGAAGGTGGAATGAAAGGACTGAAATGGAATGGGACACTATCTAGCTTATTTATGTTTGCATGATATATCCCATCTGCACATACATTATTGAATAACACATCTAACAAACATCGAATCATCTTGCATTTGACAATGTACTCGAGTAAGAGGGGAGTCGTCAAATAAGCAAACGATAGCATAACATTCGACACTATAGATATAACATAACATAACAATACACGTACAAGTCCCATGATGCAAGGTAAGTGTAAGTCCTCTCTAAATCTAATAAGAGTCTATTACGCCTGCTACCACGTATCGGCACTGGGTCTTTGAAATGACAAGGTTAAACAGACGTTCATCTGACTCAACAGGTATGCAGCTTACCCAAACGTTTGCCCTTTGGCGAGCTGACGAACTGGTATCCCTTGTCCGTCATAATTCGTTCTGAACACCTGTTTCTGAAGTCTCAAAAATATGGTATGTAAGGAAAAAGTGAACGGACCGTATTACCCCACCAAGTAAGCACATTATTTGCTCCGATCTAACAAAAAACACAATGAGGATCAGTGGTCTCAAAAGAAGATGATCAACTCTTACGTATCCATCACCAGGATATTGTAGACTGGAAAAGAAGTAAATCATCAGTTTGACACAGCAATCATGCAGACAGCAGAAAACGTACACGAAATATATTACAATTATTGATACAGCCAAACCAGCATCCAGAGCAGCTGATAATACATCTGTATTTTATATGAGCTTTACTATCTTGGTAATATAAAAAGTTAGACTACTCACAATTATATTTCGTCCACCACGAGAAGTTCCGTCTGTTACACGCATAAAAGTAAGAAAAACGCCACGCAATGAGTCACGGAAAATGCAGACCTTCGAATCACGTGTTGAAAGATAAAGCCAACCAACCTAGCATGACGCGCTGTCAGGGAACATGATATGCTTGCAAAGAAGGTATACTTACGCCCATGGGACGTAGTTCAATGCAGTTGCTGGAGGGATAAGATAGGTGCCATCGAATATCAGGGGGCTAACGCGTATCCAAACATCAGGAAAGTGACGTGAAAAGCTCCATTACCAAGACGTACAAACTGTGAAGCTATTGAGACCATAGTTTTGTAAGAGACATTGCTACACTCACTTTATATATCTGACGAAGTTATTGGGATATCTCTTCGTTATAAGCCAGGGAATAAGGGGAGCAATTGCCCCGACGAGGAAGAAAAAGAGGAGGGCTGTGAACATTTGGTTAATGCGATAGAGCCAGCGATCGACGATGCTAAATATCTCACAGCTAAAAATATCTATATTAGTCGCAGAAAGAGCTCGATAAGGAGGAGACCTACTAGTATGTGTGACCTTGAGAAAATTGGAGTCTAGGGCCTATGACCCCTGAAGATTATCCGCTGTATCAGTATACATGCTATACCCTTGTCATATAAACATATAACTCACCCCATATTATCGAAGCCGTTCCAAAAACTTCGGTGCTCGGACAAATAAAACTGGAGAACATCTCAACGATCAAAAGCGTTGGGGGTATCACGATCGGTGGACTTACCCGTCTTTTTGATTTGGGGTACACATGTCTCTGTCACATCGAAATGAGCAGAGAATGGAGGGGCTACGATGTTTAATCACTTACGGTATGTTAGCGAACATCCATTCTTGCACGGCTAACTGTGTGGTTCCAGCGATGATAGTAGCTACAATCTATAATGACAATAGCATCACGTCTCAGGAGCATACGTCAATATTTTTCACTCATACCTGGCACCAAAACATCTTCCGTGGTGGGATTTTCATATAATGGCCTAGTTTGAAGTCGGCTGTGAATGTCAGTGCCTGGGACATAGTCTTCGTAGGGTGTGAGATAATAAGTTGATATATACGATTAAATAGGAGGAACGCACTATGTAACCCCACGTCTTGAACATCATCATGGCGATGGGACGTCCAGGAAGTGCGTATCTACGAACATTTGTGAGACGACCTACAGACAATTTCACAACCAGATTCAAACACACCCAATAATGAGCTCCGTTATTACACTGATTTTTCGAGCCGCTCTCTAGTCAGCCAGATTGTTATGGGTAGGTTGGAATGCTTACTTTAGTCCTACTTGCTGGTTTGTGATAGCCTGTATCATACCAACAGGGATAATGTAGGTGAAGGCTGATATGCAATCATTAGGACATAGGAGTTCCCAAAAGAGAGTATGTAACACAAACCGATCACCAAAGCAATAACAAATGCCCACACTGGCATATCGGTTGGCCACAACTCGATACTAATAACACCCAGCGCAAACATAGCGGCAAACAAAATGAGATACCACCATTCAGGCACTTGAGTGAAAGATGCACGTCAGCGATACTGAAAACACACTGGGCTGGAGAATAAGCTATTACCCTGAGGGTATCGAGCCATGAGTCTAGCGTGAATATCAGGTTGCTCTCCTAATGACCTCCGAGCTTGTTGCATGATCTGTATGCGGAAGTGTAGGAAAGCATGGATCAAGATTGCTGGATTGAACATTTAGTTCCCTAAAACAAACACGAATTCGCCAAGCAAGTTACATACCAGTGATAGATGCGAAGGAAAGCCTAGCAAGAGTTAGCGGGAAGGTGCACAAAAGTAAATGATTCTCTGACCCGTATGACATTGCAAATGTAGTACTGAGTGTCAAAATTGTTAGTAAAAATGTTTTGTGTCAATAGCTAAGAACATACGAGACATAGAGGGGGCTATATGCTTTGTAAGCGCCCATATCAAGAGTCGCGTTAGGTGTCAGTATCCGGGTTACATTATAGGAGCTCATTGTATTGTCGTAAGATGTCCGTGAAGAGATTCTAGACACGCCACAGACAGTGTGAGAGCGAGGAAAAGAGGAGGTAAAGCGGTACGTACGGCATATACAGGGAATACCAGGTGTTGGTGAACTGAAACGAATTAGCTCCACTACCCTGCTGAGAAAATAAGAAGATATAGAACGGACATAGAGTATAGGCGTAATTATCCCTATAAAATATAAATGTTAGGAAAAATAAAACTCATGGAAGGAGGGATGAAAGACGTACAGTAAAATACTATAAAGCCACCAAATACATTGGCGCTTGCCCACCCTGAGCAATGATCCTTCAGCAAAGACGTGAGTATGCCAGGATAGCTCGTCACTTACATGGAGTAGCAAGTGGTGAACCGATATACCTGATATGCATTATACGAAGAATGAATTTTGTGAAATTTAACCCTGATGTGGAAAGGCTTACGCGATTTGACTCCAGTCGAACGTTATCACAGACATCCCCTGAAAACCAAGACACCGTGAATAAATGTTTAGCTAAAGACAGAATCAATGAGATAAGAATTCTCACCATGCCGTGGACATAACTGGTTTCAAAGTGAACGATTGTTCAATACTTAGTTAGATATATCGATAAGTAATCCCTTACCCGAATAGTTGTGCAATAGCTGCCACAGAGATGTCAGCGATGTACGTCAAGCATACTAATGGCAAGGATATCGTACCTGCATTTTCAGGGGCGATCCATGTTACCCACGAAAAATACGATAAAGCTTGGACTACAACGAAAACCCGTGAGATCAGTCTCATGTCAATGTTGAAGTGTCAATACTGACAGAGGTAACCAGGGAAGAAGTCTGCATCAACAAGAAATTTGAGCACCGCAAAGTCACTATTGAGACTAAAGAAACTTACACCAAACGAACGAGCATAAGAAGCCATATACGAAGAACCGCTCTCGACTTATGCCGCCTAGATTACCGATTCCAGCATAATATTGCGAGTGTAGGGTGTTGAATAAAGCACAGCTGACGAGGGTTGATGGCCAGATCATGCTGGGTGGAGATACCAGGAACCGTCGGGCCACACCTCCGGCGGAGAACCCGATAAGCTGTGTGGACATGACTATGAACCATTGGTCTGAGGAGCAAGAAGAATCAGTGGTGCACGTGTACGCAAATTGAGTACACATACAACTAAAATTGTAATACTGGTTATAGTAAACCCTCTGGACGGCAATAACATCTGTCTAATTATAGGAGTATGAGCGTGGTCAACTTCACAGGATAGTCAAAACCATACTGCGTAAGCAGATTGAGCGCCAACGGATGCCATTATCTATATGAAGAGCGTGAGTCCGAGATCCGGTTATAAACACGAGCGAAGTACCGTTATCAACACATGTTCCTTTATCGTGAACGGACCAGGATTCAGTGAGACACCAAAAATTTGTACTTGTGGTAGATATGCAGCCCAGAAGCGACCGATGGGGAATGAGAGAAGTTGAGCAACGATCCCGGTGATGGGCACGGAGGGAAAGCGAAAGAAAAAGAACTGGTTCACACCGGGCATGATGATGGCCCATGCGAGACCTATGACCCATGTCCGCAGGGTCGTTACCGGAATAGATTGATCATCGGTATTGGCTACTGCGGATCGCACTTCAGGATAAGGTGACTCGTCGTCGAACTCTGTGGTGGAATGCGACAGAGTTCTTTCGAGGTTTGGATCATCCAGCTCTGAGAGATAGTCCTAGCGACGACAATGAGACGTTGCTTGATCTTCAGACAAAAGAACAAGGAAAACTCACAGAAAAGGCCGAAGCTGCATGTCGACAAGTAGATGGTAAGTGAAAGAAGATAAGTGCCAGCAGAGGTCATACCTTGACTTAACGGTCTGCTTTGAAGACTTTCCTCATCGGCGAGCCTGCCTTCGCCATCCTCGTCTTGTGGGTCCTTACCTTCCGAGTCGAAGTGACGCGGTGCGATGACTGGGATCTCAGAAACAAACTCGGTGGGCATCAAGGGTACAGGCTGCGGCGAGAGGAAAGAAACAAGTCTCGCTCAGATTTGTGTGAGTGCCAGTGAGAGTGTGTACCTGACATTCCGTAATAAATATAGCTTGGTTCCGAGCTGTCACAGCAGCCGGTTCAGGCCATCTCACCGCACGGAACCAGATAGATAAGAGATACTGCACACTTCAGCTCATTTCTCGTGCGGATAGACGTTTAATATCCTTTCTGTATGTTCCGGGATTCATGTACAGGCTATCACACTCCAATGTTTTGCACTGGCGTGGAAAGATCGATATCATCATCACAAGGTCAACCAGCGCTAATACATCTTACATAACGTTTCGAGGAAGAAAGGTACAATCACCTTTCTACTTGTGGACAATAACCCTTGTGCCCGGCGGCGGCGGAACCCCATTCTTTACCCCATGACCTGCTGGGCGCCTATATGTTATCACCTAGCACAGGACACTCCTAAAGAACAGCAAAGGCAAATCATGGCAATGTCTCCAACTTGATGCACGTCAAACTGGATCCCACATCAGATCATTCAACGGGACCTTTAGTTCTCGCGCCAAGGCTTGCGCTGCCTCGAAAGGTATCCCACACTTGAACATGGGTGGACCATCCAGTTTCTCCGGTGGCGTGGTGCGGTATAATGTCCGCATCGAAGTTAATTCACCGATCTGCAAGATCAAACACATCATGAAGAGATCGACTCTTTTCTTTTCGCGGTGAATCACGACTTACCGCGGCGTAGACTTGCACTCTTCCGATCTCCATCTCCGTATACTCTCCCGGAAACACGTAGTCGGGGGCTGGAGGCCGCATCTCGACGTCGTTCTCCTCGAGCAATGCCCCAAGTATGGCTATGAGTCTGTCAAGTGGGAACGGTGCGGGACCTGATAATCTTTGCGGGACCTTTTTATACAAGGAGAAAGAATTGAGCAGCGGGACCTCCATTAACCAAGAACAGAAGCCTACTTTTGCAACACCGCCTCGACCTGCCCCCTTTCTCGGAGATCCATTTCGTCTTCTTCTCTTCCGTTCACCTGCGCCGCGACCGAACATTTTCACATCCGTCTTTGCCGGATTAGTCGAAGCCAGAAATGCAGCCAGCAAAATGAACTTCGACATTCGCGGGAGGTGTTCCATACTGTTATCCTTCTGGCCTAGCTTCGTTCGGTCCAACGGGCGAGGCACCACTTCTAGACTTAGAAGATTTGGCTCTGGCATGTTTTTTAACGCCCATTCACCGGCGCTTATCGAGCGTGGGTGAAGAGCCTCGAGGGCGGCTGTGATTGACGGCGTGAAGTAGCGAGTCAACCACATACGCTGGTCCTCTGATGGAGGTGCGAGTTCGATCGCGATGAGTTCTTGGTCTTCCTCGCTTTGGTCCCCACGCGCCAGCCCTTGTGCTTGCCTGTGCTCGTCTAGCACAGGCTTCACAAAGCCAGGCCACCGTGCAGCTGCTATGTACTGCAACTCGTATGGATCGTGAGTGTAGACGGCACAGATACTGTAAATCATAGCCGCGTAGTGTTCATAGAGTGGGAGGAGAGCTGGGTGATAAATGTTGTTTATTCCGTTGAATGATAGCTGTGAAAAAGAAGCTGAATGAAATGCAGATACAAGTCTCTCGATTGTATCTGATTTAGAAAGTCAAGGTCTGAAGGAACTTTATCAGGTGAATCGTAAAAGTGTACCTTGTTTATTGTGAGGCTCGATGTCAATATAGTACGGATCAGGTGAAGCTCCGAGCGAAGGTTTGATATCTTCCCATCGAACTGCAGACAGAAAGATGGTCGAGATATTCACTTGCGACTAAATCAGTAACTGCTATCAGTGAGACCCTTAAAACTCCATCAAAGTGACAGCTAGATCTTACCATTTCGGCCAACCTAGTCAAAGGGATGATCAATTCTGGCAGATTCTCCTTCAATCTCTCAGCTTTCTCGATCACGATAACCATGACAGGTTTCTGATCTTGAACTGGTGCCTTTTCTTTCCCTTTATGCACGGTATGAGAGCTTGAACCCGTGCTATCATGCAACGCCTTGAGCCCATGCAGAAAACTGTCTATACTGTCGTTCCATCTCTGTCCATCTCCAGGCCAATTCTCGCACCCCTCTTGCCACCTCACCTTCCAACCCGCCAACGTATTGAGCACTGAATCGTAGAATAACCGAGCTGTGAAGCATGCAACTGCATTGACCCTAGCGTAGCGAACAGGCGGATACTCCCAGTCTTGGGGTTGTGAGAGGCGACCAAATACCGAGTCGAGTACAGATGATGTGATTCGAGGATTAGTGGTATCGTTAATGTAGATGAAAGGCGGAAGATACGAGGATGTTAGCATTAAGATATCGTCTATGAATTTTGCGTAGCCTGGGTGCTCCTCCACCAAGTTTTCCAGGAGACCGACTTCGTCCGACTCCATAGCAATTATTGCAGGATGTGGGCAGACAATACAAGCCGTTTAGTGCAGAAAGAGAAAGTACCACAGGTAAAGATGCCTTGCAAGTAAGTGGTTCAGGACTGAAAGGTTTTAACTACAGACCCTTAATTGGAACTTGACAAGCAGGCTAATGCGGACGCGTGACAAGCTTCACATGATCGTGACCGAGGGGTCTTTCTTGATATGTTTTGCTTCCATCGACCTCGATCACAAATTCAGGTGAAACTTTCAAAAATAAATCAAACAAAAAGTCCATTCGCAACAATAAACGCGTAATAAAACCCAAAACTTCACGATAGCCCGAAAACATTTTAAGGTAATTGTATTATTACTCCATCAGCTGACTCTCCCTGCCGAAACGTTCTCGTCCTACCCACTTAAACTTAGAGGCCGAGGGTAATGGGCGAACAGCCAATGTTGATCAAGCCGCCCTGTAAAGAGAATAATCAGCCTAAGCTGAATCAACACACTCATGGCACTCACAAATTGGTTTCCGGTGCAGCAAACAGGCTGTTGGTCGCAGGTGGATCCCGACCCAGCTCCAATCACAGTGATAGGAGAGCAACCAACACCGACTTGACCGGTGATGTCTCCGACGACAACACCAAGTAGCCCGAGGAGACTAGCAACACCAGGGTTAGATACCTGTCCCGCCAACATTAACTAATCAGTCGGTTACAATAAATGGACGACAATGAACTCATACACTTTGTACGCTGTTGCAGCAGGAAATAGATCCAGTGTTGCACTGGTTGGTGTCACGGGCGACGATCTCCGGAGTGGGAGAGGCAGTGGCAAGGAGAGCAAACAAGAGGGTGAAAGAGACAGCGGAAACACGGGAGAACATTGTGGCTAAGATGTAAAGATTGGAAAGGACTAAAAGACAGTTGGTTGTTGTGGTGAGAAGAGGATGGAGAACATAGGCTTTGAAGTGCGTGGTTTTATACCTTTCTGTTGGCCTAGACGTGCCTTGTGAAATGTCTTTTTGACGGAGTCCAGGTGCATGCTGCTTGTTCTGGGTCCCCGTAGGCCTTCAAGTTGTTCCCGCAGGTCTTCGAAAGTATTGTTCGGCAGGTGCATTAACGTGATATACCTTGGCCAGCGGATTTCCCATATATTTACTAGCTCAACCCAAGGCTCGATCTGTAGGATTATCTGTCACTGTTGGCATGTCGAGCGGTGATTTCATTCTATGAACCGCCCACCAATCGAATTTCTTGGGGTGCACAGGATATGCCGTTCACAAGTTACCGCCGTCATGGACGGAGGTACTGGAGTTCTATTCGCCTTAATTTGGTAACTCTAGTGCTCAACGGATTTTCAGTATTTGTGGTGCTTCCATGATGAGAAGTCTACATCACATCAAAGTCAGAGGCTTGATGGGGCCCCTTGACTCCAAAGTCTATACTCGGATCTTACGCGGCTCAACGCTACTTTTTCCCCGCCGTGATTAGCGCAAGATTGATGTTGTAGCTCATCGACACTTGCGAGGTGAGTTATATGGTTCCGAATATCACAAAGTGGGCGAGGTGTTCACTTGTTGGTACCTAACTTACCTACAGCATTGACATATACTTGTTGCCCAGGCACTGATCTAAGTCGAACAAGCTCGATCATCGACTCCGTGCCGCTATCTCGGTATCCCTCCACGACGAAGTCCATGAATATCAGGCTAGAACTTCAAACAACTTGGAGTTATGTCAACGCCCATCCGAGTCGTCTGCTGCGCCCTTGGGAATCCTGCCAAAACAATCATCATTATAAGCTACATCAGTGTTCAGCGTTCAACCAATGCCGAATGTGGTTGTGAGTAGATCATTTTGAAGATTAACAACACGAAGATATACTTGGGCGACATCTACTCGTGACTGCCGTGCTAGGGCACTAGGTGTTTATGGGATTTGAATTATGCACTCCACGACGTCCAAAACAGAATCAAAATTTTCACTCTTTTTTTGACCCTTACACATTGCTTCGTCTCGAATTAACGTCGACTTGAAAGGAAATCAACAACTCTCAATTACCAAACAAACATGTGAATGTATTCTAAGGTAAGTAGAACCATAACATCCCAGTCCCCACCACATTCTATAGTCAGACCTCAAACATGCATCTCTAAAGGTTGATGTTGATAGGCGAGCATCCAACATTGATCAACCCATCCTGCAGATATGCATAAAATATTGAGCCAGTCTTTGAAATCATCTTACGGAAGCTGGGACTCACGAAGTGGTTGTCTGTGCAGCAAACAGGCTCTTGGTTGCAGCTACTTCCGCCTCCAGCTCCAACACCAGTGATGGGAGAGCATTGGAAACCGACGTCGCCCACGACACCCTTGAGGGAGATACCAACAGCTGTGAGCATATCGATCACTCCAGCATCAGATGCCTGTCCAGCCAATGTCAGGCTACCAGTATATGGTTAACGACGATAAAGACGTACACTTTTTGTGCTTTGGCAGCAAGAGATAGAACCCGTGTTGCACTGATTGGTGGTGGTGTCAGGAGTGGCGACCGCAAGGAGAGCGAACAAGAGGGTGAAGGAGACGGCGGAGATGCGAGAGAACATGATTATTATGCTGAAGTGATAGAGGTAGATAGCAGAGGAGCTGATGATGAATGGAAATGGGAGTGAAGAGTATGAGTGGTGGGGTGAGTGCTTTTATACCTTTCTGTGCCAAAGGCCAGGCCTTCGCAAATTATTTTCTTTACCTGCCCACTACTAGCATCAACTTCTCCGCTAGCTGTGCCTGGTGGCTTCCGATATGTAAAATAATGAGTAGTATGTTGCAGACGGATCAAGCGAGAGGGTTCGATTACTTATCCCATTCACTCGGAAACCTGGTCTCGAACAAACTGCCACAATATCACGATCACAAGGCCGGCATCTGCAAAGTGGTCGAACTCGTTTGATAGTTTTATGGCTAAGCGCAATTCAAAAATCTGAGCTAATCCCATTTGGGTTTCCAAAACTTCCTCCAACATACTTTTGAAGACCAATTTCGGTCAGATGAGGCTTGGTGCCAGGGGACTGGCAGTATGATTTGAGGTGAGTTTACATGTCCCTTTCAGTGAAATATCAAGAGCGCATTGAAAGCTAGGGATGTCGCAAAATCCATTCCAATGGTCCTTCCCTTTGTGACATTCCGAACCTCCAATGACCTTGTACCTGTACCCTACAAATCGCGTATGCGGTTCAGCCACACTGTGTATGAAGTTTGGCCAGCTTGCGAAGAACAAGAGTTTCCAAAATAGGTAGGATGCGGCCAATACAGTAGCGATTCCCGCCAATAGAGGCGACGCGCTTGCAGGTGACGGTCCGGTGCACAATGTGATAGGCAGGACGGAGATATGTAAAATCAAGACAACAGAGAAGAAGCCTCATTGACATACTAGTAGCCGAAGCGTTTTGCTGGCCAATCGCGCATTAGAATCGTGATAGCAGGAAGACACGAAATGCTTCGCAAACATTGTACGAGAACATCGGACACCACTGGCAAGACCAACTCAATTAGCAAGGAACTTCATTGGAGGTCAAGAAAATAATTTGCAAAGACCTGGTAGCCGACACCAGGGAGGTATAAAAGCACCCACCCCACCACTCATACTCTTCACTCCCATTTCCATTCATCATCAGCTCCTCTGCTATCTACCTCTATCACTTCAGCATAATAATCATGTTCTCTCGCATCTCCGCCGTCTCCTTCACCCTCTTGTTCGCTCTCCTTGCGGTCGCCACTCCTGACACCACCACCAACCAGTGCAACACGGGTTCTATCTCTTGCTGCCAAAGCACAAAAAGTGTACGTCTTTATCGTCGTTAACCATATACTGGTAGCCTGACATTGGCGGGACAGGCCTCTGATGCTGGAGTGATCGATATGCTCACAGCTGTTGGTATCTCCCTCAAGGGTGTCGTGGGCGACGTCGGTTTCCAATGCTCTCCCATCACTGGTGTTGGAGCTGGAGGCGGAAGTAGCTGCAACCAAGAGCCTGTTTGCTGCACAGACAACCACTTCGTGAGTCCCAGCTTCCGTAAGATGATTTCAAAGACTGGCTCAATATTTTATGCATATCTGCAGGATGGGTTGATCAATGTTGGATGCTCGCCTATCAACATCAACCTTTAGAGATGCATGTTTGAGGTCTGACTATAGAATGTGGTGGGGACTGGGATGTTATGGTTCTACTTACCTTAGAATACATTCACATGTTTGTTTGGTAATTGAGAGTTGTTGATTTCCTTTCAAGTCGACGTTGATTTGTGACCTAGAAATGTGTGAGGGTTAGAAAACTGCAATTTCTCGTTCTGTTGATTACCGTAGAGTGGACAATCCAAATCCCATAAACCTCTGGTACCCCAGCACAACAGATCTGAAGGACGAGTAGATTTTGCCCAAGGATACCTATGTACTCTCAGTCTCCAAAACTATCTATCCGTGACCACAGTAGGAGTTGGTTGAACGGTGAACACTGGTGTAGCTTACAACAATGATTGCTTTGGCAGGATTCCCAGGGGTGCAGCAGACGATGGGGCGTTGGCGTTGACATAACTCTGTGGCTGTTTGTAGTGATTGCACAAGGTTCATATACGTTCATAGATGTCATCCACTGGCACACTCTAAAATTTTTACTTGATGCCAACGTGATGCAACAAGCATTTCTTAAAACTCAAACCGTACCATACAACAACAAATACATTCAACACTCTACCGTGACACAGGTCCAGGTACTTAGATCATCAACTTGAAGGATTGCGATTATACATTTATCTCCTTTCGTGATCCCCCAGACGTCGTTGTGATGTGTTGAACGCCATCTACCAACTGTGGAAATAAAGGAATGATTTCGGTCTCCTGAGTAAGCCTTTCTAGAACTGTTGGTGACTTGAAAGGTCCCCAGCTTTCAAGTTGCGTTGCTGTGCCTGATTTGATCATTATATACCATTAGACGTATAACCACACTTCTTCCAACTAGCTAGGTGTTCATCATTTATTATGCAGCATCAAGCAGGAAATGTGGCAGTAATTGGTTCGTGTTCCTAGTCTGTTCGAAGAAAGTACTATACTCTTACGGTCTTCCAAAGAATGTAGATCAATGTTTTAATTCTTAATCAACGGAGTACAGTCGAAATCACCGAGATAAGATGAGTCAGATACTGAGCTGAATCAGTCTTTTTCAAGCCTTGCCCGAGACGTATCGCCATTCAACAGGCTCTGGGTCATATACCCTCACGTGGTGTACAGGATCAGTCATCTTACCGCCATATGTCACAAGGATTTAATACCGGGCGTTACGGGGGCCTCCGACTTCTTTTATTAGAGGTAACATGCTCGGACGTTTTGAAATATCCAGACTGTTGTGTACTCATTTGTGACGATCTGTTATAGAGTCGTTTTCCAAGATCAAGGATGACTACCTCTCCATTCGTTATTTTTGGTTATGGATCCTTAATATGGAAGGTGAGTAGTACAGTTCCAGTCGGCGCTTGGTTTCACCTCAGCGACTGACAGTATCATTTTGGTTGATCGCAGCCTCCTCCACATTTCGCTTCAGAGGGTGAGACAGAGTGAGGATTTGCGAAATCGAAATTTCTGACATATGCCCCAGTTCCCGGCTTTATCAAAGGTTACGTACGACGATTCGCGCATAGATCGAGAGTTCATCGAGGAACATTTGAAGTAGGCAACCATTGCATGATTCGAGACGCACATATTTCTCACGGCTGACGAATACGACCATCAGAATCCTGGAAGAGTCGTCACTCTTATCCACAAAGAGGACTGGGATAATTTCTCGAAGCTAGTGAGTCAACCGCCATCAGTTAAGTTGCGCAAGTGGAAGCGTTGGCTAATAATTTACAAGGATCCATTCCCCGAGGATGATGTCGTCTGGGGTAATTCCGAGTCTTTTGTGAAGATTTTCATGATAAATGCTAAATTTCACTAGGAGTTGCATTTGTCATAGACCCGTTGTTTGAAACAGAAGTTCGCGCTGAACTAGGTATGTTTGTGGCAAACTTCCTTCTTTACGTACTATTCACTCGAGCCCTTCCACTGGCAACAGATTATCGAGAAAGAGTGTGTTTTATTTTTGTAATAATTTTTACTGGCGCTGATTGTGCTTCAGGATGGATATAACAAGCAGACAGTAGACATTTATTCGATAGAAAATGGTGTAGAAAAGGTTGTTATACCCGACGTAAGTCGTGATAGTTATGTATTTCAGAATGGGACTGCAGAATAACTCAACGAATACGCCCAGGCAATTGTAGGCATTGTCGTTTTATTTGTCACTTGGGAGGGATATTGACGTTTCTCCTTCATGAAGTGCTACGTTAGCAAACGTGATAATCCGTCTTTCGGTGAGTGATTTTTGCTTACATAAAAGGTATTATCATATATGTTATCATGTTCAGTGGGATCAGAGCCACTAGACGTCATCGCTCAGCGAATACTGCGCTCAGTTGGCCCTTCAGGACGGAACAAGGTTGGTTTTCTATTACATTGCTCAGCAGCTTTATTTTGGCCTTATTGCTGCGTCACAGGACTACTTGTACCATCTCGCAGACTCGGTGCGGAAACTCGCTCCCGCGTCTTATGACTCTCACTTATTTGCCCTGGAGGTCAGTACAACATCCTTTCCTACCTCTGCACTGATAATTAATGTTTGATTCTGGTGACAATTGCGCATCTGTACTAAAGGCTCGGGTTCGAGAGCTTGATGAGCTGGAAGAGATCTAAAGGGAAATAGCCAAGAAAACTAAAGAGCAGGTACAACATACTAGAGCATAGTTGTGAGATACATACCTGGCTGTACTAGTGTAAGCTATGTTGCTTATATCTGGTGTAAGTACATACCTATCGAGCTCAGTCTATTCAAGAGACGCGACATGTCACGTGCTCTGAAAATCATTATTTTCACCATCTGTCGCGATCGGGTGCAACTCCCGAGCAACTATGATATTCACCACCGTGACTCGGAAAGGCGGCGAGGCGATAGTCCAGTACAACTTTGATAATCTGACTTTTTGAGTCTTTCCATCAACTTCAGGGATGACTAGCAAGGAATTCGTAGTCTTTGGGTACGGTTCATTGATATGGAAGGTATGTCACGGTGAATCCGCGATAAACCACTTCCAGATTGCTTGCTGACACATGCTATCATTCGACGGACGTGATGTAGCCCCCGCCGCATTTCATTTCACAAGGTGAAAGGTGCGACTACGGAGAGATGTGGTCCTTCTGAAAATTTCTACAGTGCCAGGTTTCCTCAAGGGTTACGTTCGCCGCTTTGCTCAGAAATCGCATGATCATCGCGGGACGCCAGAGGTAGGTATACCACTTCATATACACCACAAGCCTAGCTCTTACATTGCTGGACGCTGTCCTAAAGAACCCCGGAAGAGTGGTCACTCTTGTGCATAAGGAGGACTGGGATAGGTTTTCGCAATCTGTGAGTCGATAGAGTGGGTACGTATACATGCATCTGACTTGGAGATACGCTCAGGATGCTTTTCCTGACGAAGATATCGTATGGGGTAAGCTTACGCGGTACCTCCCCTCTACTTCAATTAGCAGCCTAAAGGGCATTTTGGTTTTTTGCTAGGTGTCGCCTATACCATAGATCCTGCGTATGAAGCCGAAGTGCGAGATTACCTAGGTAAGAATTAGCATGTGCATAATTTGATACCCTTATCACTGAAGCAAACCCACACGCCTTTATCAGACTATCGGGAAAAGGTAAAGTAATACTTTCGCACGAAACCTTGACCCTCAAGACCGACTTTACTTCAGGACGGATATACCATGGAGACTCTAGACGTCTATAATATAGAGGATGGGGTAGAGAAAGTTGTTTTGCACGGGGTGAGTTATTTCCTTTTCCTTGTCTTGATCAGGATGTACGAAGTACTGATCTTACCGCCCTCCGATCACTTCACACAGGCTTTCGTACGTCTCCTACCATTTGTAGTTGTTCATCTCTCATTAACCAAACCCAGTGCTACGTCGGCCGTCCTGATAACCCATCGTTCAGTGAGTCCATTCGCTCGTTATCGGGAGTAGTATATCTTAAAATGCTCCAGTTGGATCTGAACCATTAGATGCTCTCGCTGAGCGGATATGGCATTCCGTCGGCCCTTCCGGGAGGAACAAGGTGAGCACCTACCCGTCAGGACGCATGATCGCGCATATTATTGAGATATTATTTATTTCAGGATTATTTATACCACCTCGCTGAATCAGTAAGAAAACTGGCCCCCGCCTCTCATGATTCCCATTTGTACGCCTTGGAGGTAAGACATCTTTCACAGTTCGCCTCAGTGAACAGCAAAATAACATAAAATGCTAATCGCTGTATCGTCTACAATGAAGACACGACTTCGAGAATTGGATAAATCGGGAGACAGCTAGAAGGATAGACGACGTATTACTGCAAAGATTTACGTGGTGTAGGAAAACAGTGTACAAGGTTAAAGAAACCAGCAATATGTATTAGCATCGAGCGTGGGTGACAGGCAAGACACAATGCGGATAAACTGTTGTTTGCACAAAACCCAGAAGACCATAAAGAAAACACCCATGAAAAACCCGTGAGGAACCCTGCATAATTTTTTTTGGTTTCTTCTATAGCTTACCTACAAGCCGAGCCCTTCTTTCACATTTTTGGGGACTGGCTGAGGACCGTCGCACCATACTGCTTGACATTGAATTCAGGCAGAGGGCTATTTGACAGCAAAGGTGTTCGTTCTAGGGACGGAGCCCGGGTATTCCGTTCGCGCTCAACAATTCTGTTCGCAGGAAGATAGTAAGAACCCGTTCACTCCGAACCAGTGACGCGGCTGGGTGATAAAGAAATAACTGACCCTCGCATGACGGCCGCAGTGGTCAAGCGCTTGGCCCGCCTCTTGCTTTGGTTGTCCTCATAACGATCTGTCTCGTCCACTATTTCTTCGGAAATGATTTCCTGATGTCATAAAGTAAATAGGCGCTCTAGGACGTGATTATAACGGACATACCTCAATGATATCTGATAAGATGAAAGGTAATATTGATCAGTGAAAATCCCAGCCCCAAGTATAGGCACGTACCTTCAAGGGTAATTACACCGATGGCTCCGCCAGCCCGCCCTGGCGTACGACTTATGAGTAACAAATGTGCTCGGCCAGTTTGGCTGGATGAACGCAAAAAGTGTGATTCAGAGGAACGAGCTCCCAAGGTATGTAATCACGCACAAGTAATCCAGTGCTTGGAAACAGTTAATAGACGGGTGCGCCTCGGGCAAGATAGAAAATGCAAAATGGGATACAGGTAGTGCTTTCGCTGGGTCATACACCAAAAGCTGGAAAAGAGTTAACCTGCCAGTACGATAATAGATGCAGTCAGCTGCACTTGGCGTACCTTTTTGATGAGAAGGAGTCCGACGAAAGCCAGGGGGTTTCCGGGCTCGTGAACAGGGAAACGTGAGTACCCACTTGTCAAACTACTGAATTGTTAGGAACACGAGGCGGAGATACACCAGAAGAATACCCACATAGCATCCACAGTCTCGTGATCTAATATGGTATCCGAACTAAGGGTCACTACATCCTACAGAAGACAAATATAATACAATGTCAGGAAACTAGGCGATTAATAAAGATAATGGTAGTGAATTTACTAACTTTGATAGGAGTCATGATTGTTTCAACGTTCTTTGTATTCAGCTCAAGAACTCCATTGAGGATACTGATTTCATCATCTCGAAGAGGTTCTTCGCCGTGACGATGGAATTGAAGGAATGACTTGAGTTCGGCTTTCTTGTACGTGTGAGCCTCATTCACTCCGAGGACATAGTCAAGAAGTTTTGCAATAGGCCAAGCAATAGGTGCTGGTAAAACGGAATCAATAGGTAACATGGAAGAACAGCGGGATTCGGCATACCGAACAAGTACATCAACGCGAGCACCAAAGGCGCACACCGTGAACCTATCGCCAGGCCATATCTCACGCTGACGGCTTGCGGAATGATCCTATGCAAGAATTATCGGTCACGCGACCAAAATGTCGAGAGCGGGAAAGTTTACGTACTCGCTATAATGGTAAATCCGGGAGGGTTCTCGTTATTTACCGCCTTGGAAGCATATAAAGGTACACATACCCAAAGATTACTAGTTCGTGTGCATGCGGGTCAGAAGATGAGAATTTCGAGTTATGATATACTTACCAATTGCTGTGGTAGAGATAACTACAGCCGCTATTCCGCCACCAAGCTTTGTGGAGGCATGTCAATAAGGCGTTAGGGATTGGTCATTGGACCTAGACTTACGGCGCCGTCCAGGAATATTGGTAAACTTTCGTTGACAACCTGTGAAAATAAAATAAATTAATTGATAAAGGGAAGGAAAACTATTCGGTCCAAACGGGCTTACAACGTTGCCTAATAGGAGCACCTGTAGTGGAAAGTCAGATCACGGAGGACAACACAAGTACGAAGATATCTCACTACTAATACCCAGTGACGACCTTTCTGCATGAGATGTAATACTGCAATTGCGAAAGTCATTTAGCATGAAAGAACGCGCAAAGGACATGGACACTCGCCTTTCTGTGCATTCTTTTTTTCTGTCAAGTCTTCTGAGGAGGTCGCCAGTACACGGAGATGAAGTTCATCAAGTCCCATGAGACCTAAAGTCAATCTGCGTAAAGTGAGGATGGTGCTCCACAAAAGGGACAAGGGAAGACAAACCCAGCAAAGACACCACCGGCAAGCACGAGAAGAGCGCTAATGACCATCTTCTCCCAGAATGCTGGAGAGCCAATTGGCTCTTCGAGAGTAACATTTGGCTTGTGGATCCATGCCCTGAAAGGAGAGGCGTATACTGAGCGGAGAAACAAGGCCAGGCCAAAGCCTGAGGGTCTCATAGTAGTAATTGATTTTCAGGAAGGGTGTGGGGAAATAGGGAAAGGTTATTAGCTTTAGCTTTCTTATAAGTATCTGATAGAGAAATCCGTTAGCCTCGGCTGTATGAGGGAAAATTACAGGGACGTATAAGTACAAACAAGCTTGGTGTGTGTCTTACCCGAATCTATGCCACCTGTACGTAACAACACGTGCTACCCCATTCCGCTGAAGTGGCTGAAAGCTACACTCAAGTCATCTTTTTTTTTATGAACAGGCTGGTGCAGAGGGTATTCTCTTCGCCCACATATTTCCTATCCTTCAAGGCGCATATATATACTCGCCCAGCTTTCCTTGGTCTTCCGTATAAGAAAGCAACAAACATGTCAGATGCTGCCAACGATCTCACGGGCCAAATCAGATCTCATCCAGGCTCAGACGGCTCCGATCATGGTACATCACCTCCAGGAAAGAGACCTCGTTTAGAGGAACCAGCTATCGAGAGCCTGGTCCCATCTCCAGATGTTCCAGATAGTGTCAAGACTGAAGGCAACAAACGTACTAAGAAAAAGGCGCGTAGTGGACGTAGACGCATTGACATAAAACCGTACTCTTCCGACGACGTTCTCTGGCATGACGTGATGGCACTCCTGGGGAAAGATGTCGTAGATAAAGCTATAGCAGAAGATACAGATTTTGAATCCCCTTTGGAGTTCAGGTCGGAGCTAGAGCTCGAGGTGCTTGAGTTATCATCAACCGGTATGTAGCCGGATCTTTTTCATTGAAAATTACAAGGTCCTTCTTATTCTTACTTTCGTATCTTACTCGCGTTTTTCGTGTTTGCACCTCGAACTACGGGCTGTCTGATATCATCTCCAGAGGAGATTAGCGCAGTACACTGCATTGTACTTTCTGTTTTCGTTTTGATTACCATTCAGCGCCCAGCGTGTGTTCGACGAGAAGTCGCCTGTGCGGGTTAGATACCGGCCACTCTAGATCCATTGATTTACGGACATAGAGGTCCTTTTCGGCAGGCCTTACTACATACTTTTCCTCTTACAAGACTGTCAGCTGAAATCGGCTACTTCATTACCTTACAGGTGATGGACTCGCGCTCGCTCCAGAACCTTATCGGCCGTGGGTCGTCGTCGTCCCCTTTTCCCTGCCAGGAGAAAAAGTTCGCGCTCGCATCTATCGTGACTCCCGGTTGCGCTCTTACGCCGACCTCCTCAGTGTCGAAGTCCCCAATCCTGAGCTCCGCAACCCGAGCAACGTGAAGTGCAAGTACTTTGGTCAATGTTCTGGGTGCCAGTATCAGGTAATGATTATATTTTATTGATGTCTTATAACACTCCTAATGAATTTATGTCTCTGTCTCTTAGATGCTCCCGTACGAGACACAGCTTGATATTAAGCGAAATGTTGTCATAAAAGCATACCAAAACTACTCCTGTATGTTTTATGCCGTTGAATATCATTTCACGTTCTCATAGACTCTCTTAGCTTTACCAGCGTCGTCAGTACCTGAAGTTCTACCTACAATTGCATCACCTCTGCAATATGGATATCGCACAAAAATCACCCCTCACTTCGAGGCTGCTCCGAAGAGGGCACGGCTGGAGCCGCCTGAAGACAAAAGTGAAAAGCCGAGCTGGCTCAAAATTGGGTTCAACGAGATTGGCAGACGTACGGTAGTGGTGGATATCGAGGCAAGTAGACAACAGGCTTCAAAATTCATAAACAGACCATCTAAGCGGTTGCACTTATGTAGGAATGCCCAATCGCGACGCCAGTACTAAACGAGGCGCTTGGTCCTATACGGGACGATATCATCAAGTAAGTCGCGTTTTTTTTAGTTCTCGACCTTTGTCTGACTGTTTTTCTCAGGAACATATGGAACTACAAGAGAGGAGTGTCATTATTACTTCGAGATTCGATAGAGACACCACCATCAAGTACTGATACCTCGGCAGAGTCCTCATCAGACCCTGTAGATGCACTCGCCTCTGAACTCGAAAAACATGTCTGCGTTACCAATCACAAGACGACAGTACGCGAACGGGTCGGTGACATGTTCTTCGAGTTCCCAGGTGGGTCTTTCTTCCAGAACAACAACTCCATTCTTGGTCCTCTTACCGACTACGTCCACGACGCGATCTTCCCCTCCTCTCCCGAGCTCGCGCTTGCTGAGCGCCCGACGCACCTCGTAGACGCGTACTGCGGAAGCGGGCTCTTCTCCATCATGCTCTCTCCCCATTTCACGACCGTAGCCGGAATCGAGCTCTCCTCCGACTCTATCAAGTCAGCCGTGCACAACGCTCAGCTGAATAATATTCCAGAGGGGAAGTGTACGTTCCGTACAGGCGATGCCGCGAACATCTTTGCAGCCGTCGGCGAGTTCCCGCCGGAGCGCACGGCCGTCATCATCGACCCGCCTCGCAAAGGCTGCGACGAGAAATTCATCGAGCAACTTCTGGCGTTCAAGTCTAAGACGGTGGTGTATGTGAGCTGCAATGTCCACACGCAGGCGAGGGATATTGGTATGATCCTGGGGAAGACGGTAGGCGAAGAGGGGAGGAAGTATGTTTTGGAAAGCTTAAGGGGCTTTGATCTATTCCCGCAGACGGCACACGTAGAGTCCGTCGCCGTACTTCGTTTACTGTAAAAAAAATTCGGGGCTGATTTATTCATGATATCGCGATGCACTGGATGAGCTAAGTGCTGTAATTCTTTGCACATTGGTTGAACGTGTTCTCAATACTTCTTGCCCTCGTCTGATATGTCTCCTCCAAACTTCTTCTTCGTGCCAGATATCCGATTTTGAATGACTCGTTTATCTTCGGCCGAAAAGAATAGAGATAGCATAAAAGCCTTATCCTGGCCGCACAAATTCTTGAAGTCTCCCGCTCCATCGAGCTGCAGTCTGAAATTCGATTGTAACGATTGCAAACTTCTGTCCCCTCTGTCCCCCCAATAATCTCCACCTTACGAACCGTGCCAGTTTTATCAAAACATTTCACCGCATCATTAGTTCACCAGAGTCTTATCTCACACAAGCGCCGTATCTAAAAAGTGACTCGATCGCTCCTGTGGCTGTACGGTGCTGACTGCCTTTTTAGGACTTCGAGTCGCTGATCGACTTTGGAGTCATCCAACTTTGAAAAGGTACGAAAACATAAAATTTTAAAAAAGTCGCCCTCTGCGCTTTCCACTAAAAAACATTATACTATGTCTGACATATCAGCGTGTGCAACTGCGATGACCGTCGATTCCAAATCCCAAAATGGAGTGAATGGACACTCCGCCGCTACTCCAGCCGAAAAGATTCAGAATATCAATGGGCAAGGAGGCCAACCTGAATTGGCCAAACTTGATGTGCGTTCCGTCTCCTCAAAACATCAGAAGAAGATGATTCAGATCTGAGTATATCCTTCAAGGCTTCAAAATTGACCATAGAACTCGCCACTTGCCTGAAACCTCTCCAAGAGCCTGAGACCCTGCGATTTGGAATGGCGAGTGTCATCGAGTATGTTTGGGTTACCGGTTGTGGGTCCTGATCCAATGGATGGATTTACAGAATTTCACGGACCATATGATCGTCGCAACTTTCGACCCTTTGACTGGGTGGTCTATCCCAGAACTCAAACCATACGGACCCTTGACTCTCGATCCATCATGTTCATGTTTTCACTACTGCCCCAACGTTTTCGAAGGTATGAAGGTGAGTGCATCTCAATGCTCTCAACAGGAGCATCAGGAGCGATCAGCACGTATCTCAACGATCGCAACAAGGCACACCTTGGTCCTGATGGAAAACCAAGACTCTTCAGACCGAATATGAACATGCGACGTCTGGAAGGATCGGCGGAACGCATGGCCTTACCAGTGAGTTGAACTCCGATTATCCTTCCCCGCGATCTAGGCTGCTCATCATTTACAGCCAATCGACGGCGACGAAGTGCTCAAGCTGGTCAAAGTTCTGGTCACCACAGACGCCCGGTGGATACCCGAGGGCGAGTCTTTCAGCCTGTATCTTAGACCCACTATCATTGGCACGCGAGCTTGTGAGTCCTTTCGTCCCATCTGTTTCGTCTATCTCACACTTACGCACCCTGAAGCTCTCGGAGTCACCGCATCCGATTCCGCCATGCTGTACATCATCGCGTCTCCCTCAGGACCCTACTTCCCCCAGGGCTTCAGGCCAATGTCGCTCTTCGCCATGGGAGAGAACGTGCGCGCGTGGCCTGGTGGTACTGGCGGACACAAAGTAGGCGGAAACTACGCACCTGCGTTCCTCCCGCAGAGGATTGCTGCGAAGCAGGGGTATGATCAGGTTCTGTGGTTGTTTGGGGAGGAAAAGAACATTACGGAGGCGGGTGCTATGAACTTCTTCGTTGTAGTCCAGCGTGATGATGGAGGTTTGTGTTTCCGATGGATTCAGTCTTGAGCTGAGTACTCACTTGGGTTCTCGCTTTTGTTCAGATATGGACGTCATAACGGCACCTCTGGATGGCACTATTCTCCCCGGTGTGACGCGGGCATCGTGTCTGATCATCGCCGCCGACCCATCCTTCCAAGAGAAGTATAAACTACGCCTGCACATCCACGAGCGGACTTTCACGATGAAGGAGCTGATGCAGTGGTCGGAGCAGGGCAAGCTGGTCGAGGCGTTCTGTGTGGGCACAGCGGTCAGTGTCGGGTCTGTAAATAGAATTGGGTTTGAGGGGAAGGAGATCACGCTCCCGTTGAATGGAGCAGTTCTGGGGCCTGTGAGCTACGCCATCCGAGAGCAAGTGTTGGGTATCCAGGAGGGACGGGTGCAGTGGGAGGACTGGAGCGTTCTCTGTGAGGAATAGACATCATCTTTATATCTATAAAATGTATCTCGGGATGTACTTTGTGATGCTGATATACACTAGGATTTTGTACAGTACTGACTTTGCGTGTGCAGTAGTTGTCCAGCACTGACCGGAATAGGTAACGACATGTGCCCGTTACCATAAACTGCACGTGGTCCGTGCGCGCGAGATGAAACGGCTATAAAGGGGGCATGGAAAGAAAATGACTCCCCATCTCTTGTGCTCGGGCATGTACTGTCGCCAGTGAGGTCTTTACCGAGGCACAGTCTTTTGCTGATTGCAAATTACACATCCGAACCCGTCTGTTAGCTTCGGCTTTCAGCAATTTTTGAAAACCCTTTTCTGCAGTGAAGCTTTTACAAATTAGCTGAGCAGGACATTCTTGTCTAGGAATGGATCCGGTAGTGGCAGGAGGAGGATTAGCAGTAGTGTAAATAGATTAGTTTGAACATGCATCTTGCAATGAGATATTTTTTGTCATATTTTTGAGGTTCTGAGGTTGTCAAGTTTATTGAGTCTCGTTGGGCGGCATCTGAATCAATGCAGACACATCGTTCTTTATGTTGAACTCCTAATGTCTATGTACTGGTCTAATGATGATAGATAACTATTATAACGTGTATATACTGTATGTTCGGAATGCAGTCAGTTCTCAAAACAAGCAATCAAACAAATGCGAGCGTTATACCGACCAGAGCGATGACAACAAGAGTTGCTTGTCGCGGTGACAAAGAGTGTCCAGCTCCAGTGGCCTTGTCACTAAATTGAAAATTCGGACAGAGACTGCGTGACTTGCCCAAGAGATTCATAGGCATCAACACCTGTCCCTTGAGGTATCAGCGACAATCAATCGCTCTCAAAGAAGAATATGAGGTCGCACCTGAGGCATCCCCTTCAGAGCCTTGACAGTCATCCCCCCCTTGCTGTCTGCCTGAATCGTATTGCAGGTCAAGACGTCTATCACATATTCATGCGCACCGAACGCAGAATGTACAGTCCAGGCCACATCTTCGGTTGCGTTACTCCCAACGTTAGTCAGAAGAGCAATCATAGGCGGCTTTGAGACAGCGAGCATTGAACTATTGCTCTGGTTCATAAATGTCATCTACACATTTGGTCAGGCTCACTAATAAGTTTTAGTCGTTCAAAATGAGTTTCGTACAGGATTTGTCAGGAAGTAGGACGTCTGAGGTGCAATCGCTGCCTTCCTAGCAGCGTTGAGTGTCTTCATATGTGACACGTAAGGCCCATTTGTATCAAAGTTGGACAACCAGAGCCTGACAAGGGATTCAAAATATCAGTGTACTAGTCAAAAGTACAACAAGTCGTTTTACGCTTCACGATTGTTGGGGTCTGAACCCCCTTGATATCCCTGTTCTTGCCCTGTTCATAACATAACGTGAACACGACGCCAAAACTGGGAAGTAAAAGGCATACCATAGTAGAGAACGGGAATGCCATCAGTGATGAAGGGCCAAGTGATAGCGTTCGTAATCAACTATTGTTTCATGTTTTGCGCCGGTAAGGTCCGAATTTCAGCATAGGAAAGCGAGTGGTGAAAAGAAAAAAAGCCTTACATACCGCCGTGTCGTTCGTTAGCGATGTAAATCTCGGCTGATCATGGTTCTCGAGGAACGTCCCTGTCATGAACGTGCTACTCTTGTAGATATTTTGTGCCGACTCAATCGTATCTACCAACGCAGAAAGGTTTCCCTGTGGCGAGGAGAATGCGGATACCAAGGGATAATAGGAAGGATATTCCAGTACAGCGTCCATGACCTCTGTGACAACCCGTGAGCATAGGGCTCTCAAACAACAAATAGGCCAACGTACGTGTGTAAGGAGCCACATATGAGGTATCATTACTCAGGACCTTGTCAATTTGGATGAGGATATCAACAAAATGGGTTAGGCTAAACATACCTCCCCAAGTGAGAACACCCCCGCATTTTCGGTAAACCACGCCCAAAAGCTGGAATGGATGTGCTTGGCAGAATCGAGTCTTATCCCGTCCACGCCATACTCCTGTACAACACCACTAATCCACGTCTCCAGCGCTGTCACCACGCTGGGATTGTCCGTGTTGATATCCGCCCGAGGAAGTGTCGAGTCTCCGGGCCAGCATTGCTGGACCTCCGTTTGATTATTGTCGTCTGTGATATAGCATAGCTGGTGGAATTGATCTGGGGCTGAGAAGGGCACGAGGGAAGTAAGATTTAGACCGTTGGGCGATACCATGTCGTTGACGACAACATCGAGCATGAGGTACATATCCCTAGCGTGGAGAGCGGCGCTGAGGTTCTTGAGATCTTCGGCAGTTCCAAAATGTGGGTTCAGAGACGTCATGTCTTGGGTCCAATACCTGTAAGCGACAATTTTAGACGATGTGGTAATGGTGTCCTGGAATGGTTGTCAGACTCACCCGTGGTATGCTTGCCCATATGCCGTCGTGTTCTCGATATTTGCCACGACGGGAGATATCCATACAGCGTCGAAACCCATATCCTGGATATAGTCTAGATGATCGATGATACCCTGCCACGTTCCGCCACAATATTGGCGCAAAGAAGTATCACATGTAACATTACTGTTAGAACTGGAGTCATTGGCAAGAGCGAATCTGTCCGTCACAAGCTGCGGACAATGGTGTCCACTTTAGCCACGTAAAACGAAACAAAGGTGCATTGCTCGCTCACCTGATAAATCGATCGTGAACGCCATTGGTCAGCAGTTGCTGCGTACGATCCTAAAGTAAAGAATGTGACGACTGTCAGCACGACAGTCAAAGAGGAAATCATTCTGAAATCGAATGACTGTGGAACTTGAAGTGTACAAAGGAAAGAAAGCAGACGAATGGACGTGGTTACGGGGGTGAACCAACCATAGGTGCTGCGTTTTTACTCCTTGCCGTGGCAAAACAGATCGGCAAGTAGTAGAACTAGCAAGTTCTTCGAATTCGCGTAAGTATACTTATCGTAGGAAGGGTACGACATTAATGTCCGCGCGCCGCAGTCACGTGCTCGTAAAATCATTGTATCTTCTATTATCCGCCCGCTGTGGTCATCGTTGAAAAGCGGCGGTACTCATGGAGCACTTAAATTGCTTGCAGAACTTCTGGTTATAGATCCTGAGCCCTGATGTATACATTGTGGCACGGACGATTATTTATTGCCACCAAGCAGAGTAGTACCCGACTGAACGGAATCTCGGTATAAAAACGTTCGCCCACACAATGAATCTTGAGTTACATTCTCACTCGGCAGAAGAGCGATGACATACTCAAAAGTTATATTTGACCCTCGCCCTCCATTCTACGAAAGAAGGCCAAATCCAATAAAGAAAATGACCCACTCTCATTGTCCATGGCATCCAAATTGTCCTATCTCCATGATCTATAGCCTTGATGCACCTCAAGGCCACCACTTCCCGTTTGATGCCGTGCTTGTTGGGATCCGCCTCGTGAACTTCGGTGCTATCAACGGCAGACGCTCGGAAATCGCCCTCGATAGTGGCTGGTAAACAAAATGAAAATGTGATTGATGGATGTTCGATGGCTAGTGCTTGGTACAAGGCCAATGATGCAGCTTTAGTAGATGCGTAGATCGTGCGAGTAGGTGGTGGAATGATAGCTGCTATGGTTGACAAGAGTAGAATTGAAGGAGAAGCCGAGGACGACGAAAGTAGGGGAATCTGACTTCCTGTAAGCCTTGATTAGCAAGTATGACTTAAGACGAACACCTACAAATGTCACAGCAGCAGTGAAGGGTCCGAAAAAATTTCCACTGGTCGCGACGTTACATATATCGGTCGCCTTACTTATACCCTCCCTCGTCGCTTGAGGGATATGTCCGCCTTTCTTGTTAAACTCGACGCCAGCCACTGTCATCAAGGGCTGTAGGGCAGATACGCCCGCAGTAACTATAAGAGTATCCACACCACTCCATTCTAACGACACAATAATAAACAGTTAGAGTAACCTAAACGTAAAACTGCATTAAGTGCTCGCCTTTCTCCAGTACAGCGCGTAGATTGACCATATCGTCCACGTTCGCTAAATCACCTCGGATGCCAAGTATCTTCTCTTTGGACTTTACATACGTCGCTGCCTTGGAGATCGCCTTGCACTCTTCCACGACATTGGCCAGTTTATCTTCTCTGCGGCCTACGACACAGACTCTGGCACCCCGCGCAGTATACTGATGAGCTAGAGTGCGGCCTACACCGCTGGTCGCACCGAGGATGAGAACTCGTTCCTGAGCTCTGGGAACCTTGCGAGAGCGCCTGAGGCTACGAGCAGCACGGACGACATGATGGATACAGAAAAGCAGGGATAATGCGCCTAGAGATAAAGAAGAAGGGTATAAGTATGGATAGCGTTCAAGTTCACGACACCATTCGGCGACTGTAGACATCATCACTGTCACAGAACGAAAGGAGAAAGGGCACGCTCCGACATATGGAACCCTAACCCTATACTGCCTGCTGGTATCAGCGCGATGCAACCGCGCGTTCTTGGTCTTCCATGGAGTCCCAACCACCACCGTCAACTGAAGAAGGTCAGGATGATTATTCTGCGTCAGGCCCTCTTCTTGTAGGAAAGTTGCAAGAAGTAGGCATTCATCCCAATGATATCAAGAAACTCGCAGAAGCTGGATTAAACACAGTCGAGGCCGTAGCATTCACTCCCAAGAAACATCTGTTAGCTATCAAGGGAATTTCAGAACAGAAGGCCGACAAGATAATTGCAGAAGGTAGGCAGGCCTCCACGTGAAAGTAGTTCTGTCGACTAACGTGACGCGTCTGGTAACACAACAGCTCAGAAGATTGTTCCTCTTGGATTTCAGAGCGCCACGGAAGTACATGCGCGTAGATCAGAGCTTGTTCATATAACTACTGGTTCAAAACAACTTGATGCTTTACTAGGAGGTATATTGAAAATTAACAGTTGTCAAACTCCTCTGTCCTCACTTTGACTGGTCCAGGCGGTATTGAAACAGGGGCCATAACAGAACTTTTTGGAGAATTTCGAACTGGTAAATCACAACTATGCCACACACTCGCCGTTACGTGTCAGCTTCCCGTAAACATGGGAGGTGGAGAAGGAAAATGTCTGTATATCGACACTGAAGGCACCTTTCGTCCTGTCCGTCTTTTGGCGGTCGCAGAGCGGTATGGGCTCAGCGGCGAAGAGGTCCTCGACAATGTCGCGTATGCAAGAGCATATAATGCAGACCACCAGAACTCATTACTCACCAGTGCTAGCGCATTGATGTCAGAATCGAGGTATATAAGGCGCATATAGCCAAGGTTTGCTACGTAACTGAACTTGATTTGATCAGGTTCTGCCTTCTTATCGTTGACTCTTGCACAGCCCTCTATAGAACAGATTTCAGTGGACGTGGAGAGCTGTCCGCTCGTCAAACTCATCTGGGGAAATTTCTACGCACTTTGCAACGTTTAGCAGATGAAGTACGTGTTTTACAATGATTTGGCCAAGCAGGTATTATAATCACCGTACCACAGTTTGGAATCGCTGTCGTAGTTACAAACCAGGTCATGTCAAACCCTGATGCATCGGCCGGACCCTATGCTTCCAACGAGAAGAAGCCTATAGGAGGCAACATCATGGCCCATGCTTCCACCACCCGGTAATCTATGCTTATCTCTCTTTTTTATTATTTTTATTTATTTATCACATTACTCATTTACAAATTCCAGCCTTCAATTGAAAAAAGCTCGAGGCAATACCCGAACGTGCAAGATTTATGATTCACCCTGTCTCCCCGAAATGGAAACTCAATTTGCTATCCTACCCAGCGGAATTGGCGATCCGGAGGAGGAAGCCTAATGTGTTTATTACAATAGCGACCTCGTCAAGTGCATTGTAACGATATCAGCAGCCCCTGTAATACAATAACAGAAGAAGTCTTTGATCACATCCTTTGCGCGTGTAGAGGTTAGTTCGTCTTGTTCAATCAAATTTTGTTGTAGCCTTTAAGCCTGCCAACGTGTCACAAATGAAATTTGTAAGTGCTTTCGCATCTCTCACTGGTTTATCTCTGTTAGGATATTTGGGAGAAATTAGAACGCCTTTAATTTGAGCAAGGCAACATCGTGGTGGTAGTGAGTCAGAGTCATTGGGCCAGAGTTATTTTGGGGGGATAGAAGACCATATTAGAGAAGTCGTCGTTCCAACCTGAGCGGCTGGGCCGTGAGGGTGCTGATTGATGTGCGAGGGCTATGTATGCCACATGGGCGCACATCTACTCGGAGGCTCCGTCATCGACACGCTGCACAAGGTGTCCACTAACTAGGTGAACGATTATCGACATGCATCTGATTTGCACTGAGTGTCTCCTTATCACCAGGTACTACTACATCTTTGAACAGCAGGAATAACGATCCTAGGTTGTCTTTCTGCGAATGGGATTTGTGTAATTTCAAGGTAAGCAAAGCGAATGCGTCTCGCTCAAGCTAGCTATTGTCTTTAGAATAGATATGATTTTCGGTAGGTATATGAAAATCATCGAGGTGAGTGGTGTATTATCATTGATCATCATAGTAAGCGCGCGCTCTTTATGTTCTTCTTCAGGTCTTCTTTTGTTGGCGTTTATCCGCGATATCAACAACCAACACACAGCTTTATCGATATCAATAACTATGGAGTCAAACATAATGCTGCAGGTTCCACCTTCGTTGAACCTGAGCGACAACAGCAATAAAACATCGGACAAGTAAGTATCTTGCCAACGGCCTAGTGTGCAACACTTTATAAGTTGATCTATAGCATACAGGAGGAGCCTGCAAAGGCCATTATCCCAGAGCGCACTGGTCTAAACGCTGCTGCTGACTCGTGAGTAACTTGAAGTATACAACGTTACAACCTGCTAACCTCGAGATAGGGCGCGGCAAGGCTTATGGACATCTCCGCAAGAGGACGAAGAAAAATGCGCGAACGTGTGAGTAGTACAAATAGACATTCTATCAGCTTACTGGCACAATTGCAGGAAGGACATTTTGCAAGATATCCTCGAGACTCTTCGGGATTCGACTGTTGCTGGGGCAACTGGGAAGGATACGCGATCGCGATTTTGGGCGAAGTATAAGAAGGTGGCAGAGGAGCATGATACTGAGTTCCTAGAGAGATACAATGGGGAGATGGATATCGTACTGATTTTCGTAAGTCTGCGCTATGTGACTGGGATTAGCTGTAATCGAAAAGAGTGCTACAGTCTGGTCTCTTTGCGGCAGTCAGCACTTCTTTCATTGTCGCGATGGAGTCTAGCTTGAGCCCGGACCCGAGCGATACGACAAATGCACTGCTAATGCAACTCGTGCAGGTTGCACTCGGCAATATTACTACAGCGGGAAGTAGTTCGGCGCCCCCTATATGGACAGGTCCATCACAAACGGATATCTGGATCCAAGCCATCTCGTATGCCAGTCTCTCAACGACTCTTCTGGCAGCTTTCGGTGCAGTACTTGGTAAGCAATGGCTAGGCTATTACAAGTCGAGTCGTTATGGTCGCGGATCTCTCGAGGAGCGAGGCAAACGTCGTCAAGAGAAGATGAACGGTATCACTACTTGGTACTTTGATGCCGTGGTACAATCTTTCCCAGTCCTTCTGCAGTGCTCGTTGTTTCTCTTTGGGGTTGCATTGGGAGCCAATCTGTGGTTCCAGCAACAAACTATAGCCAGCGTCATCATCGGAACAACAGCGTTTGGCGTTCTTTTCTATGCATTCACCGTTCTCGCTTCCTTAATTTCTCCGGCATGTCCATTCCAAACTCCAGTGTCAACAGTCGCGCGCTATGTGGGAAGCAGGTTTCATATTGACCGTAAGTTTTTCTATGTTTGTTCTTCTATGCTTGGCACTCTTTGAAGTGGCATTGGTCTGTGAATCCTAGGTTTCCTCCAGAAGGTATCTGTCTTTTGCCAAAATTTCATTTGGATGACGTATACGTTCGGGAGACTGTTGAAGCGCAAGTTATACATTAATCGTACGTTCATGCTAGCTACTATTATCTTTCAATCTATACCAACCCATAAGTTAGACTTTCTTGCAAAGGTTTCTACTCCGTATCAATCGTGCTCTCAGAAATTCTCGGACTCATGGCAACTTGCAAATAATTCATTCCAGTGGATCATCAACCGGCTATGGTCCTACATTGAAAAACACACTCGCTCAGATAGCAACGACATAGAGTCTAGCGCAACAGCTCGGAGTGGCTTGTCTGTCGACACATACAAAATATCCCTCGATATTGAGGCATTTCCCACTAGTTCTCTTGAAGCACCCTCGGTACAGTGGCTACTGGAGACGTGTACCGACCCCGATGTCTGTACCGCCGCTGCTCGCTTGGTTCCCGAGATTGAATGGCCACTAGGGCTTGATGTCTCAGCCACCTTCTTGCAGCTTCGAGATGCATTCATGCACTGTTTTGATATCCAAGATAGGCTTGTTCATGATATGCAAGACAGAGCTATGGCCTATGGATGGGCACTCAACCACTTGTATTGCGAAAGCCACCTTGTGGGACACAAAGAGAGCTATCTGGAGGACAAGCGTTTCAATCCAGTTGCCTACTGGACCCTCTACAGATCAGCTGTCTATGAATTCAAATGTTTGAGTTCTCGTTGGCATCACCTAGAATCACTGGGTGCAAAATTTATGCTCATCTCTCACATCGGACTTGGTACCATCGAGTTCTCTCATCAGGATGATATCGACAGAGATGTATTACCTTCTGACTTTCATGGTTGTTCCGAGAATATCCTCACATGGCTATCGCATACACTTCCACACCTAATTTCCGCCAGAAAAGTGATTACAAATATTACACCTGCCCGTTCCGCATATCCCAGGCTGGAAGCACTCTCTATTGCAGTCATCCTAGACTTACTCAAAGCTGGGCCTAGGCCGCCAGTTGTTCAGATCATCGCTAGTTGTGCCGTGCTCGTTGGATGTATAATGGGAGTTACTTTTGAACCAAAGGATATGAGGAGGATTGACAAAAGGTAGCGTCTTGTTATTTGATGTTTTAACGTTGGTATCAAATCGTTTGAGAGTTAAATCTAGGATAAGATAAGAAGTTCAGCTCTCGTAGTAGAGTCTGAGGTGTATTCAAGTAAGTACCTAGGATAAGATAAGAAGCTATACTAACAATCAGGCAAGTCAACCACGCCGGCTACGCCATGTTGTTCTTTGCGCTGCATCTCGCGCTCGTCTGGCTTTTATAGCGACTGAAAACATCGACGAACCAGAGGTCCGAGAAATACTTTTCAAGGGATTCTCGCCAGCTCTCTTGACCGCGTCTGTCCTAGTCCAGGAAGGGAAGAGCCCCTGTATGGAGACCATACTAGTGACCGATCTCACGATATGGAAGATCGCGACTACTGCTACATGCAGCTCATCTTTACCCTCGCAAACAATTCCAACTGGGTGTATTATCTTTTGAATGATGGGCATATCGAGAGGTGCATCAATCTATCTCATGCTCTTTTGGGGCAATGTTCATGGCTAGACTTTTATCTTGGAGGCATCTTGGCACGAATGAATATGCGAGGAAAGACTGTAGACATTGCGAATGAGCCCAGACTGTGGCGAATCTTTATTGCGTTTTGGGATTCACTGTCTAACTGTGGTCTCGAGGACGATCATGACTGCATCGAAGTTATCCCAGCCGCTGTAAGGCTAACTCTTGACTGCTTCTATAACGGTCCTTATGTAATGCTTATGGAGGATATTAAAACTGTTCGAGACGCAGTGGATCTATTCCTCGGGAAGCAGAAACAGTGCGGTAAATCGCCAGAGGCTACCTTGGCGCTGGAGAATTTGAAGAAGTTACTCACCTCAGAATTGTATCCATGGGTATAGTATAACCACAATTTAAGTACATTTATGTCCATTAAAGCGACCAGAGACAAGCATCATTGCGGAGTGTTGTAGCGAGTGTCTATATCATACTGGCAATGATCACGAACCACGGCTTCACCTATACATGTATATCCTAGCATATATAACATTTTTACCGAATTATCTATCGGGTTTCAATTCTGCTCAAACGCTGATATTGCAATCATAACGATACAGCCAATACAATACTATCATTATCGTGAGTAATTTGTTGACCGTAGGGTCTTTGTGAGCTAATGAGGGGAGCCATGTAAGAGACGCACCTGGATCGTTATCATGCACATAGCTTATAATCCGTTGTATAAGACATAATGGAGGTCGTGCAATATCTATCCTATGGATTGTCTGATGACCAACAGTCGTCGTGTCTGTCAGTGGTGCACTGTTTATCCGCCGGGTGCAATTTTCCACTCCATCCACAGAATCAAACTCTGAGCTTGTTACACACTTTTGAAGGAGTTCCACCACGGCTACAGCTTCAATAGAGCGAGCAAGCATAATAAGTGTGATTCCGTTGTCGCCCTCCAGATCAACACGAATATCATCGCGCGCAAGAAAAAGGCCCACGATTGCCTCCTGCGAGCTCGCAGACACGCTGTTTGACGGTTCCTGTTCTTGGTCGGCACCCAAGATTGCGCAACACAACGGAGACTGTTCCTTCGTGTTTTTCAATTTCGGTGCGATCTCACAATGCGATAGAAGCAATGAGACTACATTTTCATGTCCAGAACGCGCTGCATAATGTAGCGGCGAATTTCCATCATTGTCTTGCAGATTCATGCCAACATCTTCTCTGGTAGGAACCGGTTCATATCCATTTTTCGTCGCTTTGAAGAGAAGGGTCTGTTCATGTCTCCAATTGAGATCCATAGTCTCTTTCTAACAACAGCTTGACAGTCTTTAACTTTCCATTCTCGGCTGCGAAGGAGAGTGGTGTCCGGCCCTGGTCATTTTTCGAGTTGGCCATCACGTCGTCTCTTAACAGTAACAGCTTGACAATCTCTGCGTTTCCACGCTCTGCTGCGTACGACAGTGGCGTCCGACCATCTTCATCTTTCGAGCTGGCTTCTACGTCGTCTCTCGACAGTAACAGCTGGACAATCTCCGCGTTTCCACGTTCCACTGAGCAGGAGAGTGGTGTTCGGCCCCTTTTATCTTTCGAGTCGGCCTCCACATCATTCCTTGCCAGCAACAGCTTCACAGTCTCTATATTCCCATGGAAAACTGCAAACCAGAGTGGCGTACGGCCCTCCTCATCTTTCGAGTTGGCCTCCACATTATCCCTAGTCAGCAACAGCTTAACAAACATTGTGCGTTCATACATGGCTGCGAATGACAGTGCCGTCTTGCCCTCTTTATCTTTCAAGTTGACGGCCACATCATCCCTTGCTAGCAACAGCTAGACAATCTCTGCGTTTCTATGAATAACTGCGTACGAGAGTGGTTTCTGGCCTCGTTTGTCTTTCGAGTTGGCCTCCACATCATCTCTTACGAGTAGCAGTTTGACAGTCTCTACGTTTCCATTCTCGACTGCGAGGGAGAGTGGTGTTTGTCCCCTATTATCTTTGGAGTCGGCCTCCACGTCATCTCTTGCCAGCAACTGCTTGACAATCTCCGTGCTTCCACGCTCTGCTGCGCTCGAGAGTGGCGTACGGCCCTCCTTATCTTTCAAGCCGGCCTCCATATCATCCCTTGCCAGCAACAGCTTGACAATCTCTGCACTTTAATGAAGAACTGCGTGCAAGAGCGGTGTCCGGCCTCTTTCGTCTTTTAAGTTAGCCTCTGCGTCAACTCTTTCCAGCAACAGCTTGGCGATCTCTGAATTTCTGTGAAGGATTGCATACGAGAGTGGTGTCCGACCTCTTTCGTCTTTCGAGTTGGCCTTCACATCATCTCTCTGCAACAGCAGCTTGACGATCTTCGCATTTTCACAAGCAACTGCCCACCAGAGTGGTGTCTGGCCCTTATCATCGTTCGAGTCGGCCTCCACGTCATCTCTTGCCAGCAACCATTTGACAATCTCTGGGTTTCCACGCTCCGCTGCGTACGAAAGTAGCGTCCGGCCCTCTGCGTCTTTCGAATCAGCTTCTACATCATCCCTACCAAGCAACAGCTCAATGATCTCTGCATTTCCATGCTCCACTGCGCACGAGAGTGGTGTCCGGCCCCTTTTATCTTTCGATTCGGTCTCCACATCAGCTTCACAGTCTCTATATTTCCATGAAAAACTGCAAACCAGAGTGGCGTACGGCCATCCTCATCTTTCGAGTTGACCTCCACATTATTCCTTGCCAGCAACAGTTTAACGAACGTTGTGCGCTCATACATGGCTGCGATTGACAGTGCTGTCCGGCCCTCTTCATCTTTCAAGTTGGTCTCCACATCATAACGTTTTTTGCGCTCTTCCGTGACTTCGTCCAAAGCATCAACGATGATGAAAACTTGTGAAAAGGTCTTGATCTCCGATACAAGCGTATCGTGGACATCCTTGACAGTTAGGCGAAATCTTTGTTCCCGATGACATTGGTATCGACTTTTAACGCGCTCGAACGTTGGCGAGGAATCTTGAACGAGTTGCTTCAGGAGACTTGCTTCAAGGTCAAAAACCGTTTGACTTGACTGGTCTTTGTAATCGCAGTAGATGTATGCTACAGCTATACTAGGGCTCTTGAGCGTACTGGCAAGATGATTGACGATATGTGACCTAAAGGCGTAAAATTTATCAATATAGATCTGTGGTGTTTCACTGCGATACTTACGCGATAACCGTTTTGCCAGCACCAGCTGCCAGACTCAGCATCAGCAGTATCAACGTTGATAAGAACTTCATACTTACGAATCCCAGGACACCATAGTGTTTTAGCATCGCCCCTCTCCCAATCCTTGTATATTTTGTTATCAAATACCCAACCTCCAGTCCCCTCTTGTCGATTTCCGTAGATATCATTCTGTTTTTGACGGAAATCCAGAGGAGTCAGCCAATCAGCCAGTTCTTGTCGCACTTGAGCTAATTTTTTTTTACAGTTAAGTTGAATGCGGCAGAAAAAGTGTAATAATACGACTCATACCGATATCTTTGCTGTAGTGGTTAACTATTGCGTGATTGCCATTAATTTGCTGGCCATGAACTTCACTGAACACGCTGTGGCGCGCATCGACAGATGAAGCATGTGCCATCATATTATGAACATCCCCTTGCTGAGCAGACATCGAGAAACTCAGAGAGTATCCTGTAGATGATGATGGTGTCTGGAAAATTCAGTAACGGGAAGGGATATCATGGAATAGTCGCATAGAGTGGGAAAAGAGGAAAGAGGACTTCCAGGTTTCTTGTAGACTCCGTCCTAGCCATACTTGCCAGAATATTGGCACATTTTCATTAAGTTGACGCTCGTAGGACACACATGTTGAAGTCGTGCATCACCCTCCCACGTTTGGACCCACACACTGAGTTCGAACATCGTGGTCACTGCATCTAAAGAAGTCCGAAATTACCAGAGTATACAAGGGATAATAAGTACCTGTAGACATAAGATCATCGCTGAACTTACCAAGTGGATAGTCAGGACTGCAAAGTGGGATATCCAAAGCCTTTTGACATGGTATATGTTGCCATGAGTTCACCTCAACCCTACAACAATTATCAGCAGTTTCTCAATCATACGAACTCCTCTATGCCCATTGAGAAGACAATTCATGCTGGCTGGACTTGTCATTGGCGCTCCCTGAGGTGAAACTAACAGGATGGAAATGAGTAGGATACAGTGGAACTCTGAAGATCGTTCGAGAGAGAGTAACGGTCCAAATCTCCCAGCCACATTAATAATTCCACGTGAACTCACGCCAGCTGGAGCTTTTTCTGTAAAAAAATTTCATACTTAAGTCTTTCGATAACGCTCGGCTGCATTGTATAATGTTTATTTTTTGAATCCTAACTCATTACACTCTTATCATCTCTTAAGCGTAAATTTTCGAGAAGGCAGCGGGGGAATCGCGCCATATCTGAGTCACACAGCAGACAGGAAGTCAGGGACTCGGAAGCTGACTCGAAACTAGGATAGGATAACTTACTCATGACTTCGATATCCTCGCTCGTGGACCAGGACATTCATATCGTTCCTTCGTTTACATTGGAATGTGGAAGCACCTTGCGAGAGGTACCAGTGGCCTACAAGACATGGGGCAAGATGAACCAGACGAGGGACAATGTAATGGTTATCTGCCATGCGTTTACCGGTAGTGCAGACGTCGAGGACTGGTAAGCCTTATCTATTCCATATCCACATCCAATTTGCTCAGATTTCTGCAGGTGGGGTCCGCTCATGGGTCGCAATAAAGCTTTCGATCCCAGCCGCTACTTCATTTTCTGCGGTAATGTCATGGGATCGCCATACGGCTCTGCCTCACCCGTCACAACCAACCCAGACACAGGAAAGCCCTACGGCCCAGAATTTCCCTGTACATCGATCCGCGATGACGTACGGTGCGTCTCACACATCTATCTCTCACTTTGATCCGCTTTTGTAATATCAATCCTCCAATACACAGATTACACAAACTCGTCCTCGATCATCTTGGCGTAGTTTCTGTTGCAGTCGCTATCGGAGGGTCTATGGGTGGAATGGCAGTCCTGGAGTGGCCGCTATGCAGTCCCCCGGGCTACGTACGCCACATCATCCCTCTCGCTACCTCAGCTCGTCACTCTGCGTGGTGTATAAGCTGGGGAGAGGCACAGCGTCAGAGTATATACAGCGATCCAGACTACGATGACGGCTACTACGGAAATCAACCAACATCAGGGCTGGGCGCCGCACGCATGGCTGCACTCTTGACCTACCGCTCTCGCGACTCTTTCGAGAGCCGCTTTGGGAGAAGACCTCAGCAGCCGCCAGCATCTGAGTTTAACGGCGTCACATCTGTCAATATCAGTCTCGCAGATCAGGCACTTGCTGCTCACAATGAGGGCCATCGAAAGGCTTCCCGTTCCCAAGCTGAAACACCCAGGCGATCCCCTCCCTCGTCAGACCACGACCAAGGCGCAACATCACCCACAAAACCATCACCACTCTTCTCCGCCCAGTCTTATCTGCGCTATCAAGGCAGTAAATTCGTCGCTCGCTTCGACGCCAACTGCTACATACACATCACTCGGAAGATGGACACTCATGACGTTGCACGAGGTAGGACGGTAGAGTCGTCTTTCCCTTTGGAGGCAGACGAACGGTCCGTTGCCGTCGGTGAAATCCTGTCCAAATTGCCCCCTCGCGCCCTCGTGATAGGCATCGCAACTGATGGGTTGTTCACGACTAGTGAACAGCATGAACTGTCGGAGCACATTCCTGGTGCGGAGTTGGTGATCATACCATCACCCGATGGACATGATGGATTCTTGCTCGAGTTCGAGCAGATCAACAAGCATATATCAGGATTTCTCAGAAGGGAATTCCCAGAATATTACGAAAAAGACGTTGAAGAAGAACCTACTGAAGGGTTTGCGATCAAAAAGACAAGTTTGTTCGGAGAGGCAGAGGCAGACATTACTAGATGGTAACGGCTTTCATGGGACAATGTGATATAATACCGTATGTATTCTTTATTTTACGCGTTCAACCGCGACCACACCACTTTTTATATATGTTCCATTAAGAATAAAAATCCATTATGTAGCCATTAGACGAAACAATACAGGACAGACATATGCATGCAAGACACACAACATATACATGAGACGCGAAGTAATGAATGGCAAGATTCCAACAGGGGGTATAAAGTATATGTATCAGAATCTCCGTGTTCCTCCTAGTAAACCTTCTATGGAATGATGCTCCAGGTCGTTCCTCGCTTTCAAGATAGATGCATGCATCTCCTTCATAGCATTCCCCAGTTTCACCCCGAACCTGCTCAGAATGTCACGTTGCCAAGCATCGTACTTAGCATTGACTCTGGCCTGTACTTGCTCGTAGTCAATGACGCATACGCCGAATGACTTCTGGGTTTCTGATGTGTCGAACGTGGATCTCGCTTTCTTGATCTCAGTAAGCAGTTGCTGCCAGTGCGCTAACGAGTCCCCTAGGCGATTAAACACATATTCGGCTTCCAAGTCCCACAGCGACTGGAATTGAAGCCACTTGGCGACATAATCTTTCAGCTGCTGGACTTTGTTCTCTATCAAAGCGAATGGACGGTCGAGAGTGCTATCAGCAAAGTGTGTGAGCTGGGGGAAAGAGATTTAGCTATCATGAACAAATCGACTGTGGCGTGTAACGCACAAGTGATGTATACGTCGTTTCTGACGCTGCAGCACCCTGCATCTGGAGGCCAATCTCGTACCGCGAACTTTGTATCCGACGTAAACTACATATAACCCCTAATATAGCAATTTCAGTCCCGACAACAAACAACACGGCAATATGCTATAGAAGACCTACCAAGCCACTCGTGCAGTTGTTTGATCCACGTGGAACGAGCATATTCTATTGGCGGATCAAGGAAAATGACCTGGTTCTGTATCCGGATTTCATGTATAATGGGTTTCACTGTCATGTTTCCTTCCATGTGCTGGAAATAGGGCTCGTTTAAGGATTCGATATACCTGCTAACGTATTGTGAAACACACCTTTTCTTCCTTCAGGACTTTACCGCCGCGCCGTTTGTTAGTGATGTCTCGTAGTGGTATGACATCACGTCGACTGTCCCCATCATCCGACCGATCGAATTCAGCACACCAAGTCTGTATAATATGTGTCAAGCGTTGCAAAAGGATGCCTTCTATCTGCTTGTCGAGTTCAGCAACCCAATGTTCGAGGTTAGCATAGCCCTCCAAATTCAGCCGGTCAATCTACGCAGGAGATTTAGCAAGAAGACCTTGAAAAGCATTGTCATTACTCACGGCAGCCTGGACCTTACTCAAAAGTTCCGAGAATGCTTCCGTTGTATATGGACATGTGGCGAGGTCTTCAACAGCTCGAAGGATATCTCTATACAGGTCGATCACACTATTCGTTTTGTCCTGCAGAATAGAAACAACGCTAGCAAACTCCCGGACGAATTGTATGTGTCTGCTGTCGCGGCCATCAGCACTAGACACATATCGAGCCGTGTCGTATTGGTTGACAAAGTAATCCCATCGGATATTCATCCCTGCCATTTACCAGTGATGAGTTACTAGTCCTGGGAACAGATAAAAACATCCTAACCTTTGGCAACCATTCTCTGCGCTTCATTCCGGTACTCTGCTACAAGCCATTCGATCCCTTTATTATTCTCGACCAAATCCAGAGTCTGCCCATATGTCCTAACTGTCTCCATCAAGCTGACGGCATGGGGGTACACTCTTTTAGCGTCCTTGGCCATATTCGTGATAGCATGAGGGACTTGGAAATTAAGCCAAAGAAGATTTCGGACCTCCTTGAAAAGAGTGATGATCTGAGGGTCAAAGTTCACGGCCAACTGGTATCCGCCTCCCCTCAACCGCACGATCTCAAATAGACGGCCATTGACACCCATATCGCGACGATTAATGTCGTGCAGCCAGGCTTCATATACCGGGCGGGTGTCAAGTTTCTTGCGGAAAGCAGTACTTTCCGACTGCAGCTTTTGACCCTCCGCATACAGCTCCCATCCCTTGCCCAACACATCTTCCACCCGCTTCATGTAGGTGAGCAGCTGTCTTTCGATCTGCCGTGCCCATATAATTGCTCCTGCTATTGGTGGCAAATCGCGCATTTGCGACATATGATATGCTTCTGAGAATCGATATTGCGTTTTGAACTGTAAATTATAACGTTTGGGCGAAATGCGTAATATAATAACTTCCAAGTCTTACCTTGTCGTGCAACCGCTTGATATCTTCCTTGACGGAGTCGATCAGTTGAGTCTGGTACTCTTGGATGGCTCCTCGAATCTTGTGACAGTATTACAAATTTACCCAACTTCATTTCACGATTCCGCGCTCACCTTGGGGCGCACAAACAAGGCATTGAACTTTGAGAATACCCTGAACATCTCATTGGCATTTCTCGCCGTACCAAGCCTATCGCGCAGCCGTGCGATTATCTGGTTTTCAACACGGGCAACGCGTTCATTATATGCGTTCTCGGCCGTAATCCAGATCTCGGTGCCCTCTGTCGCACCATCCAGGCTTAAACGTCAGCAGCATCACAGGGTCAACCACGTCTACCCCACTCACCAACTGAGACGTCCAAGACATCAATTCGTTTGACCACTTCGTATGCCTCTTTCACTTCTTCTTCCATGTCCATACCACCAACCTCCTTCCCGACACTCCCAAGACCTTTCGTAGGACCGGTCATGACCGCAAGCTGCTCGTGTTGTTTCCGCCAGTCTCGCAGATACCGCGTCCGTTCCTGCAACTTTGCGTGTGCCGGCACCACCTTGATCGGTATGAATTTTTCAGAGCGTTTTCGCGTGACTTCACGGGCAACATTCGTAAATTCTTTGATCAGGTCGTCCCAAGTGCGGAATATGTTCATCGCAAGCGACAGGAGACGGTCAAACGTTTCGTAGGGAGTATAGGGTAGACGGTGAGAAGTGAGCACACGCAACAGCTGATCGTTGAAGTCGCGAGAGATCGCCTCTACCAACGGAAGTGCTCTGCGTATAGGATATGGCGATAGTTTGAGTTTACGGTTGATGTGGCCGAAAATAAGCACGAGGGACTCTTGTATCTTGTCCAAGTCCGTCGCAGAAAGAAGTTCGTTTAGTGGGAAATCTTTCATGAGCTGGTTATACTTGTGTACTAGGTCCGTCGACGTCTTGAGTCCGGTGTCTGCGATGAAACTGACAGTCGCGAGGAATCGCTTCGCGTTTCTCAGACAGTCCATTACCATGTTCACCTCGTCACTTCTCAGCTGCGCCTCAATACCCTCCAATGCTCTCTCAAGACTTAGCCAGAAGTTGATCTCTTGAGAGGCCGTACCGGACGAGACATCTCGAGTGAGCTTTGTCACTGCCTGAATGGACTTTATCCACGAATTCACGTGGCCATGGAGAGTGTTGAGGAATGTACTGTCATTTAGCAGCTTGGCTGGGATGTGGGAGATATTTGGCCGGGTACCAGACGATTGAGCCTGGCAAACGCGTTGAGACGATTTCACGCGTAATACCAAAGATGCTTACCTGTTCGACGGCTCGCTGAATGACGGGGTGGATAATCAGGTGCGTTTCGGGTATCTCAACGTTCTGCTGCAAGTGAAGTAATGATAACTCAAGTTCCGCAAACTTTTTTTTAGTCATCGGTATCCCTATACCCAGGGCAATAAACAAACACCGGAACTTGAGAAAATGGAACTTAACATACCCATCTTGGTATCACCGTCCTTACCGCTCCCGCGGGCACCGACGAATGCGTCAAACCATGGTTTCACACCACAGCTGACCACGGCATGCAAACTCTCATATGGCGTCTCATCGCCGCCAAAAAGGTTCAATATATGCAACTGAGTCGCGAGTGGGCTGAGCGGATCGAGTGTGGGTCCGCGTTTGATGAGTGCGAGGGAGGTGACGTGCGATTGGGAATAACTCAAGTGAGGTGTAAGCTGAAAAGAAAATGAGGGTGGGGCGTCCTCTGCTGACCGTCAGATCATGTATTCGTAAATTAGCAATATATTGGCTCACCCTCGCCTTCGTCTTTGACCTTTACTACATATATTACACCACCGCCTTCTGCGGCAAAGCGAGAGACGCGTTCGTCGAATTCATCGTCAAAGAGGGATTCCAGCTCAACCGGAGAAGCGCCTAGGACTGGAGGGAGCAAAGACAGGAGGTAGGAGCGAAAGAGAGAGGTATCGAAAGGTGAAGCATCTACAGGACTGTCGTGGGGCAAGACGCCATTTGAGTTCGTCAAGGGCGTCGAAGGACCTTCGGGCGTGGACATGGCGGACGTGACTGAGGGTGAATGTGAAGAATTATCGACCAAAGCAAGCGACGTTGTTGACGAATTTGCAGATTTTCCGGTGATCCTGAAGCCTTTCCAAAGACCACCCGCAACTCCAGCGAATCGTCGAGGGAGAGTCTTCCGGTGGCTGCTGAAATAATACTGAAAAGAACCGTCGTCAGAACCCATTTTGTTTGATTTTTTTTAGCGAGAAATGCAGCACGGCAAGAAGGAAGAATATACCTTGTCCTGTTCTTCTGGCCACGCTCCGTATGAACGAGGCTTCCGCGCGTTGTGTTCGTTCAGCTGCTGCTGGTCGTCGCTTTGCGTGGCGACCCTTGCCTGTTCCAGTATTTCGCTCTTTCAGTCTCCGCTTCAATCCAAGCCCGCCCTTACCTTCAGCAACGCCATCGACGCTCCTCCCGCGACGAGCACGACGACGACGCGACATGCACGGGCCCGCCGTCTCCCAGCAAGTGCAGCCATCCAATGTAACACGTATTCAGGTTTGGGCGAATTTACATAACACCATACACTCAGTGCATCTCAGCTTGTATCGTGACGTGTATTCAATCCCCGGCATGTTGACCACCGGAACGATAATAGCATTCACATTCGCACAGAGGTGCGACTTTTAGCGTTTGAACGTAAATATCACAACGAGGACATATAATCAAGGTTATCAATTCAATTCATTTAACAATGCGTCGTTTTGCACTTGCTACATCTGAATATTCACGACGGAGAATACAGAGGAGGCGGACCACTAACGACATCTCCCTCTACACTCCTCTCAGACATCAGTCTTCCGTCCGGACCATCCTCCTCCCCAGGTGAAGTAGGACGGGATCGTAGTCGCTGTGCACACATATATGCCGGTGGTGGTGTCGGTGGCGATATCGGAGGCGGCTGAGGAACCCACTCGGGTTCTGGCGATGACCTTGCTGATCCATTTGGCGCCAGCAATACCCCTCGAGGCCTTCGAAAAGGCATCGAGTGGTCGCAGCCATAGCACCTACAACCTTTCATCGCGCAACAGTATATGCAGAAAATGACGAAGACGACAAACAGTACTCCTGTAATCAATGTCAGTTGTATTTTCCTTAATTTCTATCTGATTCAGGCAGTGCACCTGCGACGCACCAAATGCAATCCCGACTCTGTACTGCGTTGGCGTCAAACATTTGCTAGTGTGCCTGGATTACCGGTACCGGGCGTACAGGTATGCAATGGTCAGATATGGTTCGAGACCATCAAAGCAGAAGCGCGTACTTACGGAGTCTGTAGGCACGATGAAGCCTGTGTACCAGACACAAGAGACAAGACCACGAGTAATAGTAGGAGCCCATGGATAAGGACCTTGTTACCAACTTGGCTACTACGATAGTCTTGGTAGTTAGACATCTACCAGATCATTAAACGATAAGAAACCTTTTTGAGATGGGGAAGACTCACCGGTCTTATCAGCTTCATATTCCGTATGTGCAGTAGCAAATTTGGGCTATAGAACGTCGATGTAAGACTGCTTTTTCAAGTTCTCAACAACACGACTATCATACGTTGTCGTGGGATTATATGGGACGCATGCAGGCAAACAGCATGCGCATAAGGTGCTTTTATCGTGTGCTTCTAGTGCTGTCTCGTTGAGACTCTGAATCGGAGCTACCGAGCGGTATGTTGTTCTTAACTAGAGGTACCCGACAGAATAGAAACCGGACTACTAAGATCAGACTAGCTGTGCGCTTTGGCCTCGGAATGGCAGTACGGTCATTCATAAGTAGTAATTAATAGTCCGTTAGCCGCAATATTAGTACGGATAGCTATCATAGATGGTAGCGTACTGCCACTGAGTCGCTATGTTTACCTGCGATATGCTATTCCTGTTCCTGTATCAATGTATATGCTGGTGGTGGATCGTTAATGATGTCGGAATCTGCGACGCTCCCCGTCATGGCGGGAAGCAGTGCTTCAGTTGGGAAGAGAAGTGGGGGATGTGTTTCAGAACTAGGCAACGAAGGCAGGAGATGTACTCCAGGACTAGGTGACAAATATGGGAGATGGGCTTCAGAAGGCGGTAAAAGTGGGAGATGTGCTTCAGTGGGCGGCAAGGATGGGAGGGAGCGATTGGGGGAGAGCGTCCCAGACACGGGGTTTGAAGTACGCTGTTCCATTGAAGGAGACATAGGAGGAGGCGCAGCGGCTAGAGACACCACCGACGGATCTTGCACAAAGGGTGTCCTACGTAAAGGCACCACAGCAGGGGATGGCATCGAAAACGTAGGAGTAGGAGTACGTATAGGCACAGCAGCAGGCGACGGCATCGAAAACGTAGGAGTAGGAGTACGTAGGGGCACAGCAGCAGGCGACGGCATCGAGAACGCAGGAGTCCTCGCAGTCAACGATTGCTGTGATTGCTGCTGTGATCCACCACCACTACCTCCACCACCTGATATCTGCCGTACAGTCTCGCTTGGCGCATCTTGAGAAACCTGGCGAAGATGTAGTGGGAGGAGATAGCGTGGGTTAGGAGGTGTATGGGTCCTTTGTATGGACCCCATTCTGTGTTGTACATTCCTAGGTTTTGATTTGGCCATTGCGGCTTCAGCACGCCGGTGGTTCCTGATGCATCCCACCAAGACAGAGATAAAGATGAGGGACCCAAGAGTCGCGCCTGTACACCATATGAGATCAACTGTCTGCTCTATGCTGCGGAACCCGGAGAAGAAATGCGGACATACCTACGGCAATACCTATAGTTTGTACATTACTCTGTGCTTGGACCGCTGCACAATCGATACTTCTGAAAGGGGTCGAAACGTCAGATATGAATCAGAAATGAATCAGAGCGTCGTTAATGCACACGCACAGCGAGTCATCACAAGCATTGACTCTAGCAGCGAGGGATAGAAGTAGAAGTGCGCCAAAGCCGACATTAACAGGACCGTATCGTATGATGCGGATTGCACCTTGGAGGTGCTGATATCGTACGCATCCGCTCATGGGGTATTTGGAAGAGACACGAGGATCTCGTGCGCTAGAATGCGTCTGCAGGAACCGATTTAATGAGCGACTCGGAGGGAGTGATGAGTGCTAGAGTTAAGGTTTACCAGATTTAATACCTTCGCAGCTTGATTTCCTACTGCCCTCGACGCTCTCATATTACGATGCATTTATGGGGATGACAAGAATGCAAACTATAATGGGAGACAGTACGAGTAAACGTTGGATCCCCCCAGCCAGTGGATAAGAGTGAGATCAATCCGCTATTCGCTGCTATATATGAGGCGCTCTTTATATGAATGCATATCTGTGCGTAGAAGCATTCTGATCACAACACTGACAGGTACATGAGGTGGGCTGTGCATTCTGTCCGACTTGAGGATTCGTTGCTGAAGAACTTCTATCAGAAGAACAATGAATAGGTTTCAGAAGGCGCTGGCTGTGAGTACCACTGCCTCTGGCCCGGTGACCCCGGACCGGCATTGGAAGGCCGCGATCAACTTACTGGGATGAGCCTTGTGGCACCATTGAGAGAAAGAACAGGCTGGTAACAAATTGCTTTCTTTGTTGGAGATATGAGAGAAACAAGCGTAGTACGAAGAAGGGAAGTGGCGCAAGCGCCGAACTAGGCAGGCCTAGTAGATGGAGTGGCCCGTGCGCCATCAGATAACATTTTTGATTTTGATTCCGTTCTCCTTTATATACGCTGTCGTCGTTAGGCAGACACCTCAGACCTTCACTCGAAGTCTGAGGTGAGATTCCCCATTTAGTGTTAAATTACGAGTACCTAGCTTACCTTTCGTTTTTCCAGCTGTTCATTGCTAGGTACATTATTCCAATATATTCAGACCTTCACTCGAAGTCTGAGCTGTTCATTGCTAGATAAACAATAGGTTATGAGTCCCAGCAACGACGAATCAACTCACCTCGAGAAAGACACTATAGGTGTCCCGAAACTCGAACCCGATGGTTCGAACTGGTCCATCTACCGGACGCGTCTCGAATGGGCTCTGTCAGGCAACAAATACGAAGCTATATAACAAAGCTCAATGTCTGGTCAAGTCCTTCCTTGAAGGCGGTGAATCAGAGTATGAGAATGAAGAGTATCGGTAAGAGCGCAAATCCAAACTAATATTGAACTAGAGAACAATACATCGAGTATATACTTCTCTATATAGTGAACGGCGATGGTCAGACCGAGAAAGGGAAATACTGAGAAAGTGGTCTGACCAGCTAACTAACCAATAAGAAAAAAGGGGGGAAGTGGTCAGATCTATCGTGTTTACTAATCATATGAGAAAACGTATTGGTAAGGGATATGCGATTGGCTGTATCAGTAAGCCCATGAGAAGGCGCTGATTCACTACCTTCTTCGCTTATCAATATTCCTCCGAAGTATTCCCAGACATAGCACTGGATCGTGGCTATGTCATCTGGATATCTTCTTGAGGGTCGACAACGAGTCTACCTCGTTGTAGGTACAATAGAACGTGAGTGTGAAGAGAGAATAAGAAGAAAAATGATAAAAGTAATAAGACACCGGCTGTAATCTCTAGTCCAAGGGCAAGAGGAGTGATGGGGATCGAATCTGCTAACCACGACATGACGGGAATGCGATAAGAAAAATCGATTCCTCACAGGCTCTGGCCGACAGAGACTGTGTCGAACACCTCTTGGGAACCGCGCCCAAACCAACGCCTACACCACCTGCTGCTGCACAGAGCGCACAGGCCAGCTCCGGGACAACGGTTGCTCCCGTGTCGAGCAAGGCGGACCTAGATGCATTGAACGCATGGTCAAAGAAAGAATACCGAGCGAGAAACATACTGGCACGTACCGTACCCGACTCTACCCTGCGAAAAATCCTCCACAAAGACACCGTAGCCGAGATGTGGAAGCTAATCTGTCAAGAAAATGAAAACAAGACAGAATTAGTACAATCAGAACTGCGAGACAGACTTGCCGCGTTACGCTGTCCAGACAAAGGAGACATGCGAGTCCACATCGATAAAATCCGCGAAATGTGGGAGCAACTGAGCTCCGCGGGGGTACAGCTCAGTGACAAAGAAAAATCCTCAAATGTCATGAGAAGCCTACCTTCCAACTATGCAACTTTTGTCTCCCAACTATCCGCATCTGCCCACATGACCGGAAACACCATCGACCCCGAAACATTGATAGTATACCTCTTGCAAGAATACGACCGTCTTACCATCTCAACCAAACGACCTGGCAAGAACGAGAATGCAGCCATGTCAGCGACTACAACGTCCAACAGAAGGAGTCGAGGCGGTAGAGGTCAAAGTCGAGGCCGAGGAGCGAGGAACGATCCCAAAGACAAGCCTTCTGACAATAGCGAGATCGAATGCTATAACTGTGGGGGAAAAGGCCACATCGGCCGAAATTGCCCTAGTGAAAGGCGCGACCGCAGAAACGAGCAAAAGAAGGACGCACCAGCTGAAGGAAAGGGCAATGCCCAAGAAACTGATAACAAGGGCAAGAAGCCCGAACAAGCGAATATTGCGATGGTCGAACGCGAGGAAGAGGGCATATGGAGCGCCATAGCGCTCCCCCCACCTAATGAATCACAAGAGTTAGCATTCTATGCCAAAAATGGAATACTCACCAATGGCGTTGAAACCGTCGAGTTGTACGACTCGGGGGCTACCGCCCATTTCACTCCCTACCGTCATCTTTTGAAGTCCTTTCAGACGATACCCGCCCAACCTATTAGCGCTGCAAATCAAAATTCATTTGCTGCAGTTGGGCGAGGTGAGCTTACCATCTACGTGCCGAACGGCGTCGAATGACCTACTCGAATCACCCTGAAGGATGTCCTTTACACACCAGACATCGCCCATACGCTGGTCTCAATTGGCCGAATCGATAAAGCCGGGTATAAGACCACCTTCAACCATGGGGAATGTGTAATCACAAACCCCAGTGGCAAGGTGATCGGTCGAATACCAAACATCGGCGGTGTGTATCCTTCTCGTCCTTTTGGACAAATCAGCCCGAGTGCGAATGCAGCGATAGAAAGACTCACCATCATGGACCTCCACAAACGTATGGGACACATAGCACCAGCTGCGGCCAAACGCATGGTCGATAACGGGCTAGTCCAAGGTATCAAGCTGATACCTGGTGATGAAAACGCTTTCTGTGAGTCATGTGTGCACGCAAAAACAACGCGAGAAGCCGTACCTAAGATCAAAACTGGCGAGCGTGCGATGGCCTACGGCGATGAGATACACACGGACCTTTGGGGCCCAGCACCTGTAGAAACGCTTGGAGGAAAACGTTACTACGTCGCTTTCACAGACGATAAGACGCGGGAAACTCACCTGTTCCTAATACGCGACAAAAGTGACACTTTCTCGCAATTCCGCACGTACGAGGCATGGCTGCAAAATCATATGAGCGCCGCCATCAAGGTTCTACACAGCGATCGAGGTGGCGAGTTCTTGAGCGGAGAATTTGACAAATACCTGCAAAAGATGGGAATAGTCAGAAAACTGACCGTCCATGATACCCCCGAGCAGAACGGGGTGGCAGAACGAGTGAACCGCACTCTCATGGAGAAAGTGCGCGCCATGTTACATGCAAGCAGCCTACCCAAATATCTGTGGGGAGAGGCAGTCAGACACGCTGTCTGGCTTAAGAATTGGACCTCAACAAAGGCACTTACCGGCATGACACCGCATGAGGCCGCCCATGGCGTAAAACCAGACCTTTCCACCCTAAAAGAATGGGGCAGCCAAGTCTGGGTGCATCACAATGATGGAACGAAGCTCAATGCCCGCGCGCGTGCAGGCCGATGGATGGGTTTTGACAGCGAAAGCAAAGGGCACAGGATTTACTGGCCAGAACGTTGATCTGTGACAGTTGAGCGTTCTGTCATCTTTAATGACTCGAAACTCACCCCAACGTCTAATGATGTGACCCCTCTTGAGCTTGAGGGGGAGAATAATGCCTATGATCAAGTCCAAAAAGAGAGTCAGATCATCGAGATAAACACCAATAACGCACCTCAGGATCCACCTAATCCCCAAGCACCCATCGATCCACCTGATCCACAAAACGATCAACCTCCTGCTCAACCTCCTGTTCCACCCCCAGTGGCCCCTCGTCGAAGCACCCGTCTTCGTCAGCCAACCCAATACGTCCGCGACCTCCTACAAGGAAAAGGGTCAATATCAGGAAATGATAAAGAACCCACCTTGCCCAGAGGCATCCAACTGAACCTTAACGACCCCGAGGGAACAGATGAAGAAGAGAGGGATGACGAGGCTTTAAGAGACCTGGCCCAAAATGTGGCCATGGTGGCGCGTATGGCTGACCTTGATGGTGTCGAGCCCAGAACCGTCGAAGAAGCGAAAAATTGTCCTGATTGGAACAAATGGGAATCAGCCATCAAGGAAGAGCTAGAAAGGCTAGACAAAGCCGGAACATGGACGTACGTAGAAAAGCCACAAGGCGCCAATGTGGTTGGCTGCCGCTGGGTCTTCAAAGTCAAGAAGACTGCTTCAGGCGACGTCGACAAGTACAAAGCCAGGCTAGTAGCCCAAGGCTTCAGCCAAGTTGAAGGAATCGACTATTTCGACATGTTCGCCCCTGTAGCCAAAATGGCATCTCTAAGAATCATACTAGCGACAACCGCTAGAAACGATTGGGAAGCTCACCAAATGGACGTCAAGAGCGCCTATCTAAACGGCAAACTTGACGATGACGAAGTCATTTTCATGCGACAGCCACCAGGCTACCATGCCCGCGGTCGTGAATCTATGGTACTACGTCTGAACAAGACA